CCAACTACTACAAGAACGAGCTCTCCTATATGACGGCCGGGGTGAGCATCGACGAGTACCTTTTCGGGGTGCGCCGGAACATCTTCCAGGATAAGTACGAGGCGCTGGCCGCGCAGGAGGGCAACGCAGTGAAGAAGAAAGGGCGGAAGGAGATAAAGTTGAACGAGCTGCCGCCCGAGACGCAGTCCTTCTTCACAGGACCCCAGGGGTCCGATGCCAAAGAATGGGCAGCCTGGCGAGCAAAGGATGCATGCGACGTGCTCAGCCCAGCAGAGAGCGCGAGGATACGCGCCGAGAAGCCCGAGCTCATTGTGCCGACCAGGTGGGTGAGAACGAACAAGAACGACGGCCTGGTCGGAAAGGAGTTCCTCGCGAAGTCCCGACTGGTGGTGCAAGGTTTCAAGGATAAAGCTTTGGGGCAGTACCGTCGGGATGCGCCAACGGCTTCTTCGATGGCTGAAAGCGTGTGCCTGGCCATCTGCGTGCACATGCAGTTCGTCCTGTTCGCCAAGGACATCAAGAATGCCTACTTTAGTGGAAAGAGCGTGGACCGGGAGATCTACCTGGATCAGCCGCGAGGCGGCCTCCCAGGTTTGGTCGGCAGCCAGCTGCTTCGGGCCAAGAAAGCCATTTACGGTTTCGCGGAGGCGGCTCGTTTGTTCTGGCTGGCTTTGCGTGAGCATTTGGAAAGCGACGGCTGGCGGATGAGCCGGCTAGAGCCTGCCCTTTTCTATCTGCGACGGGACCGGAGGCTCATCGGCATTCTGGTCACGCACGTGGACGACATAGAGGGCGGGGTCCATCCAAAGTACCTAGACAAGGCCTTCTACCACTCCAGCAAGGCCCTCGAGTTCGCGACCAACCACTACAAGGACTTCATCTTCCGAGGCAGGGAAGTCCGTCAAACCCCGGAGGGTCACATCGACGTCTCCATGAGAAATTATGCCCTCTCCATGAAGCCCGTCAAGGTGACCAAGGAGCAGAGGCAACAGCTCGATCGGGAGCTAACGGCCCAGGAGATGGAAGTGTACAACAGTGCTGCAGGCGAGCTTGGATGGGTGTCACGGCAGCTCAGGTGTGACATTGCTTATGAAAACGGTGTCGCCCAGAGGAGCAAGGCGGGAACCTGCATGGCCGATCTCGTCCGGCTCAAGCAGTACATTGGCATGGCCCGGAGGGGAGCAGACTTCAGAATGCGTTACTGGAAGGACGTAGACCTACGAGACGGGGTCATCGTTCACTTGGCGGATAGCGGTCACGCCAATGGAAGCCCCGACCACAACGACATCCTCCGCTACCGCAGCGTCGGCGGCTACTTCATCCTGATTGCCAATCGCTGCATCCTCGAGGGGAAGCCTTCCAAGGCGAACGTGCTCGCCTTTCACAGCGGGCAAACGAAGAGAGTGTGCCGCTCAACGCTGGCCGCGGAGGCTAGCCACTTGGCTGAAGCAGTGGAGGCCGGTGACTGGCTGACGGTGCTTTTGGAAGAGGCGCTCACAAACGAAGTGGACCTGAAGTCATGGCCCGAGGTGATTGAGCGCAGGGACCGCGTATACGTCACTGACGCCCGCTCTGTCTACGACTACCTGGAGAAGGACAGCCACAGTACCAGCTCCGATCGACGGATGGCGATAGAAGGTGCCCTTCTTCGAGAGACGGTCAAACGACCAAGGGCACATGTGCGCTGGATCGATGGCATGCAGAATATGGCGGACGTGCTCACCAAAGCCAACGCAGACAAGGAGGTCATGCGACAATACCTAAAAGATGGAATGGTGAGTTTGGTGCAAACGGACGCCAACCGGTTGCTGAAGGAGAAGAAAAGAGGCGAGCGCCAGAGGCGCAAAGTTGTCATCAAGGCGAAGACGGGAGACACGCAGCGGGAGGCAAGGAAAGACCAGGCGGTTCAGGACGCCGAGAAGATCCTTGCGGAGGCCGAGGGCGAGAGCGATTGAAGGCAAAACAAAATACAATGAGTGTGGGAAACCCGAGTGTGTACGCGAGCCCATGTTGCCTTCACTCTTCTGCCTCGCCGCCTCGAGACTCGCTGGTCTGAAGCGAAAGCCGGTGACAGGGCCTTTCGGCATTGCCTGCAGATTTAGCATCCGGCCTGCATGTCCGATAACACAGGAACAGCAGTGCACAGAAGCAGTTTCACGAAACAGATCACTTTTGCATGTTGCGGTGTAAAAGAGTTGCGGTACGCTGCCAGTGCGCTTCGCAAGTGTTGATTGCATGAGCCGTTGATCAAGGTGTCGTGCCGAGTTTGCAGCCCTCCACGGAAAGTCACATGCCGTGCTTGCGTGGTATTCGCATATTTCTGAGATGAACGCCTGACAGTTTTGGGAATCGTTACCTTTCCGATGGTTGAAACCAGTTCAGAAACTGGAGCTTCTGGCCTGTTCAGCAATAGTCAAGCAGTGCCGAGTGCCCAGGTTGCTGCAATCCTTGAGCGACCCCAAGGTGGTCCAAAAGAAGTTGGAGTACATTGCCTTGCGCCCTGGACATGCAAATGTCAACGACTCGAAGACGTTTGGTCTGTTTTGGTTTCTGCGCACGGTGTGTTTCTGTAACAAGCCACCGTATATACCCCGTCTCGCTCCAGCTGTCAGTCTCGTCGCTTGGTCAATTCGACGTATCTTCCATCTCTGCACCCTCAGTCTCGGGTGCGTTTAAGCTCGTTGTGACCATAGTTTCATGGAGTGCTACGAGGGCATGGCAACTGGCAACTTGTAGCTTCCGTGTTGGTGCAGCAAGGTTTGAGACTTGTGCCCCACGGTCTGGGATCACGTCGCAGTGTGAGGCGTCACATGAACGCGGACATCACAACGGCCGACGTTGAGGACGCCCTTGTAGTATTTTCGCTTGCGGGCTCAACAGTTTGCGTGTTTGTTTGCTGCCGAGATGTTGAAAGTTCCACTACTCCGCTCTCTGAAGAAAGTCGCCCATAGAGAGAAAAACCGGAGACAGAGACTAAGAACAGGTCTGGCGCGAATTATGGGGATTGCGCATGACTCAAGCAATGCGAAAGTCGCTTCAACCCTCTACCACAGCCCTGGCGAAAGAAACAAAGAGAGATCGCCCGCAGGTCTTGTGAAAGAAAGATCGAGAAACACAGATGAATACTGCCAGTCACATTTGCCTGCATATGGTGTGGTATGGTCCTGTATGATATGATAAGATACCGAGTATCTTATGTTTCGTGATAGTACGCTGTGTTGCTGTGCCATGCTATGCTATCTTATGTTCATGATTATGTTACACTCGGCTTGTGCTCTGTTGTGTTAGGTTTGGTAAAGCGTCATGTGACTATGTCTGTCTGTCTTCTTCTATTTAGATGATGTATGTGTTACGTTCCACTAGCATACCTACCTACCTACACACCCACCCACCCACCCACCCACCTACCTACCTACCTACCTACCCACCGACCAAAGATTCAAGAGTCCTGGGCATCATGGTTCTTGGCTAAGGGTTGCACGGGTCTGGTTGCATTGAGGTTCAACTTTTCAATGCCGGTTTCAATGCAGGCACCTGGTAAGAAATCCAAGACATGCTCACGTATATAGTAAAACATATTGAAGCGCACCACGATGTACAAGTGGATTTAAATGCACGTGCAGCTATACATATTCGTGAAGAGTTCAGGCCAAGCATGCTTTGTAGGCACGCTTCGATACAAATAGGCAAAGTTGGTCTTGGTAGAGGGGTACCATATCCATATATATATATATATATGTACATATATCCGTGTTGCCTGTCAGGTGTTCAAAGGCATCCTTCTCGAAGTGTGCGCATCAAAACTGGGTGGACTCATGACGGCAGAGTTTCAGCCACTCAGTTGAAAAGCCCATTCGAAATAATATTTTTCTGTTACGTTTCCAGATTGGGGATCATGTCTTCGGCCAGTGTTCTCTGGTCGATTCCGGACCATTCAGGGTCGAGAGTCGGAAGGTTCAAGATTTAGACAGGCAAATCTGTTCTGGCATTAGTAGCGGTTGTGCTAGGGATTTCTAAACATGGTTTGCATGATGTAGCCTACCAGTCCGACAGCCGCTGGCCTCCCAGCATGATCATGGGCAGTAGATGCCAGATGAAGCGTAGCAGCATAAGGTTCGGCCTCAGCCAGACGGTCACTGCTTTGGGCGTCTCATTAGCGCGGACGCACGAGTGTCTTGGCCAGCTGTGGAGGGGACTGGGGCATTCGTTTTGCCCAGATTTCACGCTATATATTTTTTTTTTTGCCGTTCGGGTTTTGGGATGACGGCCGCAGAGAGCAGAGATCTAGTGAAAGACCTTCAGCTGCTGGCGAGGCACTACGCTGAGCGCCTGAGCCTTCTGAGGACATGCTGGAAGGAGGTGGAAGCTGCGTTGCTCTCTATGTCTTAAGCTGCAATGTTCCTTACTGTGGACGATGCTATCTTTCTATATATATATAACATGTTATAATAATGTACTATTTCTGCTATATAGTATATACTGTATAAGGGTTTTGTCCGTCAGCAGAGAATTGGAACCCAAGCTCGTTTGCAGACCGATCCATGCTGCAATACCGCATGGCTGAAATCGTGCAGCTTCGTAATGTTGGCCTTCGAAGGCCGTCTCGTCAACACCTAACCATCCATTGTCAAAAGAAGCATTAGCCTGCTTGGCAGAGATAACATGAAGATACTTGTTGCATCTGTCGCAACCCTAAACCCTAAACCCTAAACCCCTAAACCCTAAACCCTAAACCCTAAACCCCTAACCCCTAAACCCCTAAACCCTAAACCCTAAACCCTAAACCGTGAGATTCCGACAGTACAGACTAGCAGGCCTCGGCTGGAAGTCTCTGAGTTCTCACGTTCGACATGGGAGTTTCCCAAAATCAGGGGTACCTTCTTTCGCGGTCCTTGTAATAAGGATCCTACTAGTTTGGGTACTATATTAGGGTCCCCCCATTGTCGGAAACTCCCACATGGGACCGGGCCGCAATCTGCAGGCCAACGTCACAAGCGAAGATGCGGCAGAGGACAGAAACCTCTCCGTTTCAGCTCCCGAGTTGCCTCCGAGCCCCTTGCCCTGGGTATTTTGGGTTTTCCGGGGGCTTTTCTCCGAATCAGGAGCATCAGGAGGATCACGAGGGGGAGGATCATTCCGATACGGCTCAGGCCCAGCAGGGTTGACGATGGCTATGTTCGGTTTGGTTGAACTCTTTCAGCTTGGGGCTTCCGGCTGGGTTGTCATCAGGGATGACGCATTTTGCCTTCCTTGGTTGCAGGCTGTGTGCTCGGCAGCTCTCTTTCAATTCGTTCCTGTCTGCTTGCAGCTTTCGTCATTGCCACTTGAAAGCGGTTTGATCCTATGAGGCACGGATTCTGCTGTTTGAGTTTCGTGCACAGTGCTATCCAGCTTAGATGCAGCTGGCAATGTCGATATCAGTATACGTTAATCTAAGTCAGAACACTGCATCCTCCTTGGCTTTCGCTGACAGGCACCATCGCCAAAAGGCCGCCAGGACGGGACCTCACCCAAAGGCCACCAAGACGGGAACACCATGGAGAAGGGCGAGCAAGCCGACCAGGACTCCAACGCACACAGTGTATGGGAGTTTCTAAAAGCTAGGGGTACCTTATCTCTATTTAGGCTGCTATATTCAGGTATGGGGCTGAACGAAAATCTACGAGTGCTGAGATGAAATCCCTTCCAGAACTTCTCTGCAGGATTGCCACCAGCAGTGGAAGCAGAATTCCAACATGGACATCCCCAAGACTTTTGCAGCGATGGCACGCTCTTTGACTCTACAGGTAGCAGATGTTGGATCAGGTTCCTACTTTTTGCCGCATCTAGCACCCCCTAAAGGTTCATGTAGGAGTTCTGTCTACTTTAATGGCTGCTCACCACATGATGCCACATGCGGCACAACCGGCGCACCCTCTGCAATCTGTAAAACGCGGTGCACGCGGCCCAAACGCCTTGCACAGCGCAGCTGGGCGCAAGGCGGCAGCACATGCGCAAACCGCACGTCCGGGCCAGGGCGGCGGGTGCATCGGCTCATGCAATGCATCCCTACAATTCCCTACACAATCAAGCTACACAGCACTCTTCGCCCCGCCGACGTACAGTGACAGCAGAAGCCAAGAGAATGGTTCGCCTTGCCGAAAAAAGGTTTTAGCCGTCGATACTGAACGCAGAGCCGAATGCTCCAAGGGCTATCTGCCCGTGGTGTTTCCAGTGCCACCCTATCTCCACAGCCGAAAGCACTACGACTAGGAGCGTGTGCTGGGAACAAACACTGCTGCCCATCACTGCGTGAGTTTACAAGTCACAAGATGACATCCTGGTTCCATCCTCTGTGTACGACGAGCGCAGCTGAGCTGTGGTTCGGTTGTTTGGCACTAGAGCCTAGAGACTGTGCCACCAAGGAGTACTTGATGACTCAGTCGCGTGTATGCCGTACCTTTATGAGCCGCAGGAATTCTTTAGTGTTTGATCGTTTGTGTTGAAGATTCTCCGGCTTTCCGGATGTCGATGGAACCGAAGAAGCTGTGGAACCAACCGCGATGTGGAGTCGTTGCTTAGCATCGACATGCGATCACTTCCTAGAGGATGCACACTTTTTTGAGTTGCAGCCAGGACGGCTGTCGTCCCAGTGTGGCATGTTGCAGTATGCGAAAGGCAGAAAACTGCGAGAGATCGGACTCGACGTCAGCAGAAGAACGCTGCCGACATGCCACACAGAGCTGTCCCGACATCTAAGGCTTCAACGCCTCCGTCATGGGCATTGGGGACCGTATCTGGCTTACCACACTGTGCAGCGTGCTCTTGAGGGCATTTACATGTGCCGCCGAGGCATGTGGTTTGCCGATCTTCTGTACTCTATGGAATCCTTGGTTCCCCACATCGGCAACATTGACCGAGTTCAGGTGCCCCGAGATGTTGAAGACTTCCGGAGAAGGTTTTGGAGGTCAAATTCTTTGCTCATATCGAACTTACACAATAATTAGAACAGGGTTTTGGGGCCCATCATTTTTCTAATTATAAGAAGGAGCCGCCGAAACTAGTATTGGTAAGAGTAACTACTGTAATTGTAAAATTCACCATAATATTGTTGATGGTAATTCCGAGCCTGCCAGCCGGGCTCTTGGAAGCTAACATTTTGTGGTTCGCGGGAGTGGAAGAAGCTTGTGGGATTCGTTGTTTTTTCGCTCGTGTATCACAGCCAAGAAGCATATAAAGCTTCGCAGTGCAACTCTCATCGACCTCTGGGTGCATGCAGGGGCCGATCCACCATGAATGCTTGACATGCCCGACACAGGAAAGGCACACCATACTGCCATACTGCTACTTGTGATGCAGTTTGTCGAATGCAGATGTTGTCGTGCGTCTCGGGCCGCAATGCAATCGTCGTAAGTTAGTAGTTTGTTCTGGATACAGCGGTAGGAGATGCTCCGTACCGAAGACTCAGGACCCTTCTCTAAGTATCGAGCCAAAAATTGCAGAACTGCGTTGGAGAAAGGTTGAACCGTCAGAATGTGGATCCTGGAACATCCGCAGGAAGAGTGCGACGTGCTCGCATTGACGCTCGCACACTATGACAAGGTACTCTGTGGGCCTGTGGAAGCATGCACTGTCGTAAATGAGCTTGGCAATCTGACTCGGAAAGACATTCACGGTCCTCTGATTTTGTCAGCCTTCGTTTTGATTCTGTCCGTCCGTCCCATGCTGAGACTGAACCCTTCCTGATCTTCCTGATCAGGTCAATCTTGCAGAGTTCCGCTCGGTGATGTTCGCCAGCTTGAGGCGGGAAGTGTCAGGAATTTCCAAGTCTCGACGTCCCATTTGCGGGGTTCGAGATCTGCAACATCTCTTTGCATGAGGCAGTAAGAGCCTGAGAAGGATGGATTCAAGGGTGCCGGCCCTTACAAGGTCACTTCTGCCTTCCACCTGGAGCACGCAGCACGAGAATGCTTGGTCTTGGTTCTGGACCTGCGTGGAGAAGAAGGCCTTTTCTTCTGGAACTCGCACTTCAAGTCCTTCTCTTATAGCTGCTTTCCGGTGCAGCAAGATCATGTGTCTGCAGAACTCAAATGTGAAAAACAAACGTCCTGAGCACTTGCTTCGAGGTCACTTCCATGCATCTAAGCAGGTGAGACACAAACCTGTCATATCTTCTGGTCGACACGTTTGGTGGTTCCAGGTCGAGGCGACGCGGCTGCTCCCTGTGCGCCATCATCAAGCTCTGAAGCTTGCTCGAAGCTTTCGGCTTATGACATGGCTTCGCTAGTGATGCGTCCGTTTTTTGCAGATGAACCAGGCTCTGATGTCCGAGTCGGTAGGAATGATGCGCAAGCCAAGGAGATCTTTCCTCGCCCGTATGGATGAGGTGGGCTTGTGTTTCCGTGCCCAACAAAGCCTAGACAGCCGTTAGATGCAACACAACCTTGCAGCCCGAGCTGCTATTAGGCGCTAAGTGACCAGTGCCAGGATGCCCTGGCTACCTTCAAGCTCCAGGTCTTTGACACTTTCTTTGCAAACTGCGAGGCGCCAGCACGATACTTTCTGCAGGGCCCGACGACCCAGCGAGTGGAGAATTCCCTCTGAGGAGTCACAGCTATACCTGCGGGCGGCCAACAAGCGCTTGATGTACATCATGGGACGGCTCCTCTTACGAAGATTCGCTGGGGCTTACCGGCTCTAGCTACTCGGTATTCCGACTGTAGCAGGAAGGAAAAGGGCCTTAAAAAAAAGAGTCTAGAGTTCAGGCTTTGGGATACTTCGTCGGGGACAGACAGGCAGAGGCTGCGGCCCGACCTGTAGAATCGACTGGGAGGCCCAGGCCTCTCAGTGGCTTCAGAAAACAGACTCTAATGTCTTTGATCCAGATGACATAACCTTCAATAACATGCAGTGCGTAGGTATATTATGCATTTAGAACATATACATATATAAATATATACACACACATAAACTGAACTTGATTGGCTCAGTATTGCAAGAAGGATATTGCAGAGGACTGGGTCTGTTTTAAATGCGGGGTCGTGGTTTGGAGTGTTGGGCCGGTTCTACAAAAGAAGTCGGAAAGTTCCTTGCCGTTCTTTCTGAACTTCCGGTGTTTTTGGAGTCTCTCCTTTCCGGTTTTGTTCTTCGGCTGCAAATTGATAGGATAGCTGCAAGAGGCCTGACCCTCGCGGAATGTGTTGAACCTATGTCCAGCCGAGGATCCTCACCATCATGTCAGACATCTACACGAAGACCCATAAGGCCAGGAGACTCGTAAACCCTAAACCCTAAACCCTGAGCCGTTGCCGGCTGGTGGTAGGTTTTTCTGGGTTCAGGGTTTGCTGTAGGGTTTAGGAGCCAGTGCTGTTGGTGCTGCCGGGAGTTCATTGGATTTTTCCGTTGGGCTCAGCGCACCAGAGTTGCGGAGTGGAAAGATGAATCCTTCAGAGACAAATTACAGTTTCAGGATTCTGCACAAAATCCGGTTTAAGCACTGGCTCCATTCATTGTGCAAAGTCCAAATCCAATATCTTGGTCTTGGCGGCGTTCGCGAACTTGATCAACGCTAGCGCTTTTCCGCCATAGTCCCAAGGCGTTTCTTTTGAAATCGTGCTTCCCTTGCAGAGATGCTTGTATTTTGGGGATGCCCCTCGCGTTCCCTCAAGTCCCGTGCGCTTCGGACTGCCCAAATCGCCCTCCCGCTCCCGCCACAGTCCTGCATTCATTTTTGGGTCAGGGCCTCGTGTGGGGAGCCAAGGCATGGCTCAAGCGTGCGCGGGTCTGTGTGAGGGGAGCCCGTATAGATAGTATAGTAGCCGAAGCTCTAAGTGTTCTTTTCTTTTTTGGCGAAAGTGCATTGGTCTGTGAAGCTGTCGCTGGCAGTGTCCAATTTTACTGGAAAAAATGCTACGCATAGTTGCTCCAATGCGGTTGGTTGAACCGAATCTGCATCGTGAGGCCGTCATTGCTGTCTCCGCTTTGGGCCTTCTGCATGCTGGCCACGGTGTCCCCGAGGAGCGGTCGAAGACGTGTACAGAGACGAGGGTGGAAGCCGCTTCAAACGTGTCGTTGACAGGATCTGGTGCGTCCTTTCGTCGCAGCATTCATGCTGCTTCGGATGCAGTGGAGGTCACGCAAAATGTGCTACAGCACAAGGCTGAAAGACTGCCGTCTCGAAAGTTTGGGCCTGCTCTCATGTGCTCAAATGTGCCAGTGAGAGCTGATGCACTGAGGCAGTCCATCAAGCAAGCTTGTTCAGATGAATCTCTCTACGAGGGCCTGTGGTGGACGCTGGATTTGATCGGAAGGACCTGGGCTCTCACAGTCTTGTGATAATCGAGGTGTAAGGAATGACTCCGAGATGCCCTGTTGGCGTGCAGGATCTTCATCCGAACGCTGGCAGAGGGCTCCACGGATGTGATCATCGCAATCAATAAGAACTCGACCACGGTGGCTCTTCAGTGAATTCTACTTGTGATACAGCCGCACAGGGCTCAATTCAGTGTGGGTGGCGTTCGGTTTTGAGTGCGTACGGGCCAGGCTTGCCAGGGAGGGCATACGACGGGCCAGCGACCATCTCCTGTGCAACGGTACCCTAACCTAAACCCCGCCTAAAACTCTAAACCCTAAACCCTAGTATACACGGGCCAGATCTCCAGAGAGTAAGAGCTCCACGTTCAAGGTCCTGAAGAAAGCCGTTGCGAAAGCTCCTCGTGGGGTACGCTACGACGTCTTGCTGCGCGTTCAGGCGTAGCCGAAAACTGTGCAATCTCAATGTCAAGCTGGAAACCCAATGCCCGGTCTGCTGTTTTAAAGGATAGTGCTGGGTGCAAGATTTAGCAGCTGAGACGCAAGCCTTTCTGCACAGGTGGGCACGGAGTCCATGTCGCCGCTGGTCTGGGCCGTGGACAAGGCGAGGCTGCAAATCCCGGGCTCGGAGGAAACGAGAAGAGGGGGCCTTCTGCCATGAGTTCTGCAGGGGGCGCTGGAGTCGGCGGCTGCCATCATCAAGGCTAAGTTGCTGGGGTCAAGTGTTCACGTGAAGATTGGGCGAAAACATGTGGGGTATGCTCGGAGCCCGGCCAGTCTGTATGGGTTCGTGCCTGTGGCAGCTCGCCTTGCTTTACCAGCTGATAAACTCAGCAATCTCTGAGCTAGAACATTCTGGGTCCGCTCTGTCGGTCATGCACTCGCCGTCATTGGGGATGGATTTCTGGATAGTTATCTCAAGGTGAGCTTGCTTCGGCCCCGAAACAAAGCCGATGATCCAGTCTCCTGGCGAGGACCTGCTCACTATGCGAGCAGACCGCGGACGGTACTACTTCGGCATGGCAGCTTTCCAGCAGTGCTTTATCGAGTGCATTCGCCTGGTTGTGAGATGCAAATACACGAGGAATCCCTTTGGAGTCGCCATCCGGTCGCTGGGCTTTGCATCAGAGCATCCTTGACTGTGCAAGTCCCTACACGCAGGGGATCCGGAACCTTGCGCAGCTTATGAACCTGAATCCGAAAGATTTGCCCTTTCTTGGCTGAAAACGTAGCGGCAAGCCACGTTGCCATCACTTCGCTCGTTCGGATCGGGCTCATACAGTAGCGCCCGTGGCTAACTGATGACATACGCAGGCCGGGCTGTCTTCTAGAGAGGAACAAAGCTTCCTGCCCAAAGCTTGAGCATGTCCAAAGCCTATCTACATTCACCGTCCACCAGAGAGCATCCATGACAATTGACAAGACTGTGCTTAGTGCCTTGTATCCTTGCATGGTCTTGTCAGTTGTCCGTGGTACAGAGTCTCGTGCAGACGAGAGCAGAGCATCTTTGTCAAGCGATTTCGGCTCCACGAGCTTCGGGGGCTTCACAGTGCCGTAATGCTGTCGTGGTCCGGGGCAGTTTTTCCAACAAAATGTAGACGTCGAAGTAGTGGCGGCAGTGGTGGTGGTGGTGCTGGTGGTGGCAGCAGCTGCAATAGTACAGCAGGAGTAGTAGTAGTAGCAGCAGCAGCAGTAGTGTGTGTGGTCGTCGTCGCGTGTCGTCGCGGTGGTGGTGGTCGTAGCAGTAGTATGGGGGGAGGAGGAGAAGGAGGAGGAAGGAGTAGTAGGAGCAGTAGGAGGACTACGAGTAATAGGAGTAGTCGTCAAACTCGTCGTCTTTGTTAGCAGTTAGCAGAGGTTAACTAGAGGTTGCAGGTCGCAGCAGGTAGCCTTTAATGTTTAATGTAGCTGCGGTGGCAAGGCCTGGAGTAGCAGTCGTATCGCGAGAAGATGGCAGCAGTGGTGGTAGCAGATGCTCAAGCAGTCGGCTCGAGGGCTCAACTAGGTAGCCCGTCACCAGGGAGGACAAGTCTTAAATTGCCTCGACTCCTTTGCGATGTGACGGCCCTGCGAAGTTTTGTTTTCGCGTTGGTTCGCTGCTTGCACGTATCTTTTGATCGTGTTGCTTTCAGAGTTTCGGTTGCGTCCATTTTGCGTGGCTGGTTATTTGCAGTTCAGTTTCAAGACTGAACGGAGCCGCATGCGTTTTTGGCATCTAAGGACCTCATTCCGCTGCTTTGCAACAAGGTGTTCGTTCTGCAGCTACGTGTGAGCAGTGGGGAATATGTCCCAGACATCAGGAAGTTCAGGGGGTCACGATCTCGAATATTAGTCTGCAGCTTGCAGCTCTACGAACCGAGACCCAGCCGAGGTGTATCACATCCATTCCGTTGATCTTGACTGGTGGGTGCATGGGCTCTTCTTCGAAAACAGTATATTGACAATTTAAGAGCAGCGTCTGCAGACTTATGGAAAACTTTCTTGTCGCTATGACCTCAAGAGTTTGTTGCTGTTTGCTGTAGTTGCAAAGCTGACTGGCAATTCTGATGAGGCTAGAGGCTGATCTTTGCCCAACGGTCCCGATTAAAGCAGTCACCGTGCTGGATGATTACGACGTGGGGCTTGAGCCGACGAACACAGTCCTTTCAGGCATGTACTCACAGTAAGAATGAGTATGCCAATACTAATGACGATAACGATATTGGCCACAGAAGAAATAGTAGTAACAGTAGTACTAGTAATAAAAGTATTGATATAGGTCATAGTCATATCGTCGTAGTCATAATACCTGTAGTAATTAGAGTCATTACAGTACCAGTCACACCTCCATTCCAATTTCGATTACCCTGACCGAGTCGGGCACAGAGCAGGCGCCTTCGCTCCTGACTGGGGTGCTGGATGGGCTCATCTGGCGGTCCAAGAATGTGAAGAAAGGCCAGTAACGGGGTGGATGCCACTGACGGTGGAACATCTCGCCATGCCATGGATATCCGGATCTTCATCAGAACCTTCTTCCGCCTTAGGAGACCGATCCGGTCAACCATCACGGCCAGAAATTCGACCATTAAGGAAAGTGGGTGTCGGGATCCTCGGCTGTTCAGAAGGCTGAGCCTCCTTGCCAGGTGTGCGGCGTGTGAATTACTACATCGGCTCCATCATGGTTGGCAGCGAGGGACAGCTTACCAGTTCGCTCTTGGACTTGCTGCTTGCTTCCGTTAGACTCGTCTTCAGCACTGACTTGTTATGGGATCGCAGAAGGCTGGCTAGGTGATGCCCCCCATACCCACTGGCCCGACGCACGCAGACGCCATCAGGAGTAGCTCCGCAGGCATGTGCAAGCAGCAGGGCAAGGTTTGGGGCATTTAAGGGGCCCTTCCCCGAAAAGCGCACATCCAAGATTTACAGTCGGAGGAAGCTTCTTGGAGCTAAGGATCAAGCATGGTGATCCGAAGATCATTTGCCACCCTACGGCCGTCTTCCAGGCTCTTCCCGGAGATTCGGGATGGCCCGAGATCATGATAGTGAGTTGATAATACGAACAGTCATAGTTAGAGTAACAACAGCAAGTCCATCGTCATCACTTCGTATTTGTAAGAATAATAACAATTCTCAAAGTAGTCAAGATGTTCGAAAATAGTAGCAATAACCGTAACGCTGGTATTCTGATGTTCAGATCTGGGTGATGCCGGTGATAGCACATGAAGTGCAAGCCAGGGCGGTAAGACTCAAGCACATCGTAGGAACAGCCACTGGAGCTGTCAGGGGCAAGCGTTGATGCGACGGGGATTTGAGCCGGAAACCTAAGAACGCGCATAGGAACCAGGAAGAGGCGCCCGAAATAGCGCGAAGCAACATAACACAACCGCAACGAAAAGACCAGAAAGCCAGAAGAATCCAGCACCAGTGGCATGACGGATTCCTCTGCTTCTACTAGAAGACCCGTTAAGCTTTTGAGGCTGACTTGCTGTGGGCCCGACTTTGTTGCCTTCCCTGGGCGGTTACAAAGCTGTGGTTTTGCGCCCGTGGCTCAGTGAGTGCTGCGTGGGTTTGACGAGTTTGTTAAGTTCTAGAAGCACAAAGCTGATGACCAGAGTGATCTTAAGAGCTTGTGATGAAGCGAGCATCCAAGCACTAGTAGGACGTCCCGCTGGACCAAACTATCTCCAACTCGGATGCGTCTCCCCCATAGCATTGTGTTTGCTACCCCCTCCAGGCATTGACTTCGAATCGCAAGACTTTGTCCTTCTCCCTGAGGTGACGCTCATGCTTTTCGTCATTGCAGAGCAAAAGGGCATTCTTTCAGTGGATGTTCGGAGCCAGCAGCGCTTCACGGTCATCGCCTGTCGCGCATGCTTGTGGCCGAGCAGCATAAAAAGCGAGGCCTTCGTGTGTTTCTTGCAGGCGAGGCATATGAGATAAGGATGGAAGGTCATGTAAGATAAATGAATGACGGACCGAAGTTCGATCTCGCGGGATTTCGCAGAATCCTCTATCAGCCTTCCACAACCCTATCTGCAGGTATGTCTTCAGCCTTGGACAGCTCTGGGTCAAGCATGCCGTTCAGACCTACAAAGCCGTTCGTGCCAGGTGGACTCACGGAGGGTTTGCTTCAGGTTCAATGTCCGGTTTCTGAAAAGGTGAACAATAACGCTTCTCGGGCGTAAAGCTCATATGGGAGGGTTCAGCCACGAAGAGTGCGACTTCAATTCCGTTGCAAGTGCATGCATATTGGAGTTTCCGAAGTTAAGGGGAGTTTCTTTTGGGGCCCTTGTAATAAGGATCCTACTATTTAGGGTACTATAGTAGGGTCTCCTATTTCGGAAACTCTCATTCAAGCAGCAGTCCCCAAGCTCGAGGCAAACCCGGCGCTTCATCTGGCGCTTCCACTTGCCATCCTACTTGCTGCAGCCACCCGCTCCACCATTGGCTTTTCAGGGAGCCCGGGCTGAGCATAGGCCGTACGAGGGGCCTTGTTGCAAAGTGTGGGAGGATGCAGAGGGAACAAGGTTGAGCATTGTTTCAGCCGTGTTGACGGAGCCTGCAGCCCAAAGACTACATGGGGGAAAGTTGAGTGCCTCACTATCAGGGTCGGAATACGAAAGCCAAACGACTTGTCGTACACATCTGTGGGAGTGGAATCTGCAGACGTCTCGAAGCGAGAAATGTAACGAGTGCAAGATACCACAACAAAGAAACAAGAGCAGAGACGAAGAGACGAAGGGTGGAGGAGACGCGGAAATCGTCTGGAACAGGGCGGGGGCACAAAAGATGGGTTAAACAACTGTGCCTTCTGCTCTGAAAGGGTCATGCGGGCCTCGTCTTTCTGCAATTGTCTTTGAGGTCAGGTCAGGAGATGACCGAAGTCATCCTGCTGCTGCTGTTGATTTGCCCCTTGGCCCCGTCGAAGCTTTGGGCCTTGCAGCCGAGTCTCGCAAATTACTCGCAAGAGCATAGGGCAAGGAGTGCAAGTGCAGCATGGCAGAGGGTTACCATCAACGGTGCAGAAGCACATGCGCAGGCCATCTGATTGGGAAATTTAGAGTCTGCTGTATTGGTCTTGTCGTTTGATCCTCTTCGCAGTCGCATTGTGGCCCTTGGAAGACACGAAGACGACCTCTGATACTTCAGGCATGCTTTGCTGTGAGCCAGTGCTGCACTGCCTGGGTGCAAGCATCTTGGCAGCCTAGTTCAGAGTCCTTCCAAACGGGTTGCTGGCTGCGTTGCGACGAAATTCCTGCACTTTGGCAGAATCTCCATGTGGCCTGTGTCAACCTTTTGTCAGCTGCGCTGCTAGTCTGTTGTGGTTAGTCACCACTACACGCTCCATATTCCACCCAGCAGTGCCAAACGCTTAGAGTTAGATTCCTGAACCATGAAGCAGAAGAACATCATGAGTCTGTTATGAACGCCGCATTAGGCTGTCAGCCTTCAGAGGAACACCGGACCACTTCAGCACGTGTGCTTGAAGCCAGCATCGCAGAGTCAAAGCGTCCAGGCAACGAGTGGCTGACGGACTGCTGCGAGTACGGGGAGTGGTATTGCGCCACAGCTGGAATGACGTTCAAAGAGACTTGAAGTATTAGCTGGCCATCCCTCGACCAAATCAGTCTTGTGCTTTTTGAGACACGTCTTCAGCAATTTTTGCTCAAGCAACCTTCCTTTTTCTAAGGCAATCTCAACTACACCTACAACCGCTTGGCCGCTTTCCCAATGCTCCTGTACTTCCTCCTGGCCTCAGAGCTGCTCAGCTCCGAAAAACTTCCCAGGGCCTGTTTGGCTTTCAAAAGATGCTACAGCAATATAGGGACCTAAATAGTTACTAACACTATTTTGGAGGTTCCTTGTGGTGAGTATAGTATAATGATGCTACAAGAGTCATCAGAGGATTGGGAAAGGGTTTAGGGTTTAGGGAACTTGCCCGCGCTTTCGGCCTGACTTTCTCAGTCAAGTTGAGGTTTGTTGCAGTTGGCACTTGCAGTGCCAGATTGCTGCCGTGTAGCCCGGGCAGGTGTTGTGCTTGAGGCAAAGGTTTGGCATAGGGTCTGCCACTCCATGGGAGCCTTGAAATGAGAGCCGAGTCTTGTTGAACCTTTAACCCTCGGCCAGCATTAGGGGACCCCGAGCCCAGCATCTCTCTGCTTCAGGCTTGTCCACCTCAACGTGCAACTGTCAGTGTTCAGCGTGATCTGCGCAAGTCTTTGGTGACCTTGGCGGGCACTAGGGTTCTATCAGCTTGCATACCTTATCCTTTTGGCAAGTGTTGAAGTCTTTTCTGATCGACAGGATTATGCCAAGGTTGTGGTAACCTGATTTCTCACAGTCGTACTACATGGGGTGCATGCTGAGAAGCCTCCAAGAATTGAAAAAATGGCCCAGGGAGAACCGTTTTTGGCAAAGTCGAGATAGCACTCACATCAACTTGCGTGCATGCCACGCGCTGAGGTGGGAGTTCATCCTGTATGTCGCAGTTCTGTTCTTCTTTGCGGCAGCCTTTGCGTCCGCTGTGCCTGGACTGCCTTTCACGCGATGCTCATGTCGGACGCTGAAGATGGATTACGGTGATATTCACAAGGGTTGGGCTCAGGTGGCCTGCTTGCCCAACCTTGATGGCGACGACTCCGTGCAGAGCCTTGGACGGGTGTAATTCCTTGCCATGAGGCTTTTGGGGTGGAGCCGGGGGATTGACCTTGGACCTTGCTCCCAAGACTCCCAAGCCCAGTCCCGTGAAGGAAGCGAGATTTCTTTGGCTTGGGCGCGGCCTTCGAGTCCATGTTGCGCCTCGGGTGCAGAGGCTTCGACTTTCACTTGCTGCCGTTTGTACCCTAACCGCTAAAGATCCCTAAACCCCTAAACCGTGGCCCCAAGGTCCATGGCCTTCAACACCTATGGAAGCGGCAACTACGAAGGCATCGCTCAGGCTTCAGAGCCGCTCCTGAAGTGGTTGCTTGGCCTTGGAGTGCTAGAAGCTGCCAGGTCTCAGGATCGCGGAATCGCGAGCTGTGTTGTCTGCATGCAAGCTTGTAGACCGTCTATTGCACACTGCATCCATCAAAGAATCACAACGGGTGGATGTGCTGGGAATTAGGCGGCTTTGCGATGAATCGGTTTGTATGCGCTGTCAGGTTCGTTCCTGATGCTGGCCTTATTGGTGAACTGCAAAACTTGATGTCATTGGTTCAAGGGCCATTCCGATGTAAATGTGCAGCACCGGCTTTCCATGCGAGAACACATGTGGGACAACGCGGGTTCCTTAAATGCCAACCGGGTTATCCATTTCTCGAAGTCTACACGAACCAGATGCTGAGGTTCATCATTGCCTTCGCTGCATGCTGGCACGTGTACCTGATGATACTTAGCTGCTTTCAGGCCTAGAAGCATGTCACTGTTGCAGCTGTGGAATGTTCTGCTGCCCAAGGAACCTGATGGTGGCTCAGCTCTGCCAGCGCTACAACGAAATCTTCCACGACGCACGGGGCAATGCCCGACTGCTTCGGGTCCGCAGCCAGGGCCAGGGCGGTGATATTTCCGATGTGCATACTCGTATTTTTTTCCGACGGGGGATGGAAATTTTCGGCAGGGGATGGAAATCATCACGAAGGCAGATCATTCCAGCGAGACTGAAGGAACTTCGAAGAAAGGAGCTCGGTCTGAGCAGTTGACTTGGAATGTCTTGGTACGTCATTGGTGCATCTCGGAGCCCGGGTCAACAAGCATGAGATAGGACGACAAGAGACGGGAAGATGGGGGTTGTGGATGATTCGGCGCATCCTATATCCTAGACCTTTGCGTTCAGGTGCATCCCAAATCCAAGTTCGTCAAATCCCCAGACCCTTCGCCGGAAACTCACACCCTGCATCCTGGGCACGAGCATTCGGGCTACCGTCGTACAGTAGCTAGGCAGCTAGACTGGCGATCGAAGCTGAAAGGAGCTGGCCTTCGAGCATCCTTTGCAAGATTGTTGCATGGATTCCGCATCAGTCCCATCCAGCCTTGAACAACTTCCCATCCTTTAGCATCTCACCTGGTTATGTGGCCATATGTGCCGTGCAAATGTCGAAGAAGTGTGGGGCACACGAACACGCTCAGCACGTTGCAACAAGGACGAGAGGCATCATCATCTACGAGACCTCTATGCCATTCATCTCCAAAGCACGATGGGCGCGCTTTGTGGATTCGCTACGGCTGGAGGTCTTCTGCGGGTTTAGGGTAATGATGAGGTACGACATCACTACCAATGATGCTGGACAGCATGCCACGCTCTCCAACAAGTTGACGTGTTAAAGAGATTCTTCGTGTTTCAGTTATGTAGCAAGCGGCCAACACATCGCTAGGTCTCACTGCATGTTCGAGTCAAAAGTGTTCATCCAGCTAGTTTGAAGGTGCAGCATAGCTGAGCGGACATTCTAATGGGAATGGAGCGGTATGGGATGCGGGGTCGGGAGCAAGATCAGTCAGTGGCAGTGGCCGATTAGCAGCCACCATTTTAAAGTGCTTCCCATCATCCAGGATGCCTGCGAGTTGGACGAAGGAGACAATGGGCCCCCAGGGGCTGTGCCTACCGCAGAGGGACCGTGCCCTTAATTTCGGGTTCTGTAGAGCAGCAGAAAGTCTAGGTCAATGGTGAGATTCCGGTACATTCTCAGCTACCTTTGCTCTTGTCCAAGATGCCGACAGCAGCCAGGTACGATTACTTGCAGTATCCGGCCGTGGAGTTGGATCGAGTTCAGCGTTTCGGAGGTCCGAGAACTTGGAGGGTTTCAGCAAATCCTGAGCTTCGAAAGGCAGCCTGAAACATCTCTGTGCAGGGGAATCGGAGCATTTGCAGAACTGCTCGATGCAGACGTCGCCTGTGTGCGCCATCACAAATCAGATCGAAACTTTCGGGCCTTTGCGACCAGTGCAGACAAGCTATCTAGGCCATATCGTCCGGAGCCGCATGGCATCTAGTAGCACACAGTGACCGAAGATCAGCATCGTAGTTTATCGAGTATGATTCCATCATTTTTCATCAACGCTGTCGCTCCAAGCCTGAAATGATTTCCACTTTTAGGCACATCCGATTTTTTTTGTGCACGCCTTCACTCTGAAATGGCCATCAGTTTTGGCAGCAGATGAATCAGACGAGGCCTTGCAAATCCGGAGCTTCCATGGCCGAACCTCGAAGAGGTCACTCGCCAATTCCAGAGTGTGGATGTTCCATGCCCTAGTGCCTATATCCGAGGTTGAGGGATGGGAACTCTAGTTCATGAGGGAAATTTTGGACAAAGCTTTTACTTGAGCTTCGATTGTGGTCGCGAGCCTCTCTGGCCTTCCAGAGTATGAGCACTTTTCGAATGGCTTTGGGCTAGGCCTTCTAGCTTCTCTTGCTTGGCTGTTGGCTCAAGCCCGCGAGTTTTGGTGCTGCAAGGTTAATGTCTGTCCACTTGCAAAGAAGCTTCATGTCAAGTGTCATCGAGGATGCATGTGCGTTGAGGCGCGTTGAGGCTTTTCTACTCTTCTTTGCAATCTGTGCTGTGTCCAACATCATGAGCGAGGAATACCATAGCACCTTCGAAGATGTGGCACATCTCGGACCTGTCTTCTTGTGTTCAGGGTTTCGGTCAGCTTGGCCTTGTGGGCAACTGGTGGCAGACGTTGTGGCCGACCACGCGTCTGATTGCTTTTGGCATGGCACGTGGTACTCAATGAAGCGGGGTTTAAAGAGACGCATTTAAGATACACACTGCGTCACGAGTCACGCCCTTCGAGCTCTAACATCTCTCCACGGCGAAGGTACTAGCATTCTGCCACGATCTTCAATGCGCATGCTTTTCATTAGAATGTTATCGGTGAAGAAGAATCCCTTGAAATCTCGAGCGAGTTCGGGTGAGGGAGGTTTCTCTGAATCACAGCTGCGCCCAAGACTAGGAGGGTTGAAGCTGACCATGTGCGAGCGCATGGACACCGAAGACGAGGAAAGGAACTGCAGAAACAACAAGGAGGGATGTGGAAAGTATGACAAACCAGATGGAGCTGGTTGAAGCTGAGAAGATCTGGGTCCTGGGTTTTCAGAAGCATAAACAAGAAGCAGAGATGTTTCATCTTCATGATAAGTGTGCTTCGGCTTTGTGCTGAACACCGGTTGCAGCTGGCTTTGGACCAGCGGGTGTGGATTCAGGCATTGGATGACAGCGCCGTGGGCCGTTTAGATAGGCTCGTCGGGCGGGAAATCAAGGAGTTCCAGTTCAGAGTAGACTGAGTAGACCTGAGAGTTGCAAGTGGTGCTCCCATTCAGCACTTGACAATTTCGCAGTGCGTCAGGTTCTCCACGCAGGTCACTTCAAAGCATCCGTCCAAGTCCGAAGATAGCCTTCTGCATCTCATCTTCCGCCCTTGCACCACATTTCTTTGACATGCTGACCCACAGTCTTTCGCGTTAATAAGCAGTCGTGTAGAGACAAACTCATGTTTTTTGCACAATTGCGCGATCCGCAGCATTCTGGAGGATGACGAGAGCTAAGTTCGAAGAGATGGAGAGGCACCGCACAGCATTCAGTGTTCGAGCACATGTATCTGAAGGGCGCTCTGAAGGGTGTTTGGCCGTTAGGAGCCTTGATGCACAAGGCAAGAGTTGGGGTCAAGTACAGCACGTGCTTCCGCAACATTCAAGCTCTCGCCCAAGAACCCTCAGCCAGCAGACCTTTCGACCTTAAAAGCAGAACGTAGCCAACACGGCAAAATTGCAGGGAGCCACGATCAGGTTGGCAGCTGCTGTTTGGACACCCTCGGTTCTTACCAGTTCCGGTTTCGGTTTCCATCAAGCGATAGATCTAGAAGTCTTCGCCAAGGCGATAGGGTGAGGTAGTAGCAGTAGCAGTAGCAGTAGTAGTAGTAGTAGTAGTAGTAGTAGTAGTAGTAGTAGTAGTAGTAGTAGTAGTAGGTAGTGGTAGTAGTAGTAGTGGTAGTAGTAGTAGTGGTAGTAGTAGTAGTAGTAGACAGTGGTAGTAGTGGTAGTAGTGGTAGTAGTGGTAGTAGTGGTAGTAGTGGTAGTAGTGGTAGTAGTGGTAGTAGTGGTAGTAGTGGTAGTAGTAGTAGTAGTAGTAGGTATTCAGGAGAGCTCGGCCGGTAAAGTCAGCACATCGAAGCCACAGCTTTGCAGAGGCTTATGGTGGACATGGCTGTGAAACTTGGCGTTCGCTCTGCCAGCATTTCCAACGGTGGCAGCCAAAGTCACTCCACACATGGCTCTCAACTACAGCAGGACCCAACAAATGGTGCAAACTTGAGAGGTTTGGTGTTTCCGGTGTCATCGGTGCCACAAAGTAAGGCAGAGGGAGATTTTTTGCATTGGCGAAGCTGAAGAAGAGATCTTTGGATTGTTTCCCTCTCTTAGCCTCCATCACAACTCTCGGACGCGGGATACGCGCTCGTGCAGGGGTCTAGCCGTAAGCCGTAAGCCTCGGCACAGAAGCAAAGGCTGTTGTTGCAGTTGCTCTTCGGAATTGTTCCCGGCATCAACAGCTCAACATACAACGCCTTTGTTTCATTCATGTTCTTTTCGCTTCATGTCTCCAGCTCGTCTGAGGTATCGGATCAGCTGGTATCTGTCAATGTATCCATCACAACGAAGACACACCAACACCAGTGTTCTACACCCGGCACTTCAGTCAATTCTTCCCCTCAGGGATCTCCCATCACTCTAAGCCCTAAACCCTAAGGCTACGTAGGGATCTCCCACGTCCAGGATACCGGCAAGCCCGTCGACACCGAGCAAACTGGGCACATGAAGGAGGAGAGAAGTGTCGGAACATAGTACACTTGTGTATCATATCACACCAGGTCATATCAACAAATGGAGATATCATTCGTATAATCTAGACTAGTATAGGACGATAAGATCGAAGCAGGATATTTCGCTTCAGGCATGCGGCATACTGCAACAGGCTTGGTCGCGAGGTTTCAGGTTCGCTAGCCTTGCACTGGGCTAGGACTAGAACGAAGCCTTGCCTTTGGCTCTGCGCAGTTAGGTGACCGGGAGCCGCCCCGATCCGTACGACCCCATTCCGAATCGTTGATGCGGCATTGCCGCTACTACTTCGCATGATTCCTAATGAAGCACAAAGCAGAACAGCAGCAGGGATCGGCTTAGAAGGCTCATCGACCCTGTGGCACATCAGCGCCAGAGATTGCATTCTCGACGCCTGCGCGTTTGGTCCCGATGCATAGGGCCATAGGTTTCATCATCATCCATCCCCAGGTTTTGCCCAAAGCCCCCAACTCCTACCCTTGTGCAGGAGACCGAAGAGACGCTGTGCCTCGGCAGCTGGGATTTTGCAGATTCTAGCGCGTCAGCTTTGGTGGCGACTGCTGCAGCAGAAGGAAAATAGGGGACCCGAATACAGTACCCTAAATAGTAGGATCCTTATTATTGGGACCCCCGAAATAATCTCCCCTTACTTTCGGAAACTCCCAGATGTCCTCAAGTGTGCACCTCAGGAGCAACGAGCCCACAGGGACTGCCTCTCGGACATATTGGGAACAACGCTCGGGTTGAGTGGCATACTTGGAGCTTCATGGGCAGTTATAAGTGGGGTTATAAGCCCCTCAAATAAGGGTTATATATAATTATAGTTGCCCTACTTAAAACCCCACTTATAACTACGCATGAACCTCCAAGTACTGGAGGCTTCGAGACTGGTCATCTGTCGGTCTCCGAAGATGGTCATCGGATCATTGGGATCAGACTCCAGAGAAGCGCAACTAATTATGCGCTATCTTAGACCGTATAAAGAACTTTTCTTTGTGAAATGTTTTTAGTGTACTATGTTGCCTGACACTATATTATGTTATAAGATATGATTTTGCATGGTCTTTTTGAGCATTTGTCTATGTTACTTTATATATTCTATATTGTACAATGAGTTCTATTGCGTGTGCTATTATATACTCTGTATAACCTTTATTCTTAGTTGCGGATTATTTATTTATACTATATGTATCGTGCCCATTTTTTATTGTGTACCATCTATTCGTGTAAGATGACACTGTATTAGGTTGTATTATATTGCGTTGCATTGTACTACATGACATGATGTCGTTGTTCGTTCTAATTCATGATGATATATTGCATGAGGTGACATGACACGTTTACATATATATATATATACTCTATATATATATATATATATACATATACAAACACGCCAGCACATATTCTTTCATATGATGTTTGCATGATGCTGTTTTCATAGTGCTACAAAATCAAAAGATGCAGCATGATGTTATGTCGTATTACATTCTATTGAGCTATGTTGCGTCATATTTTGTTTCAGTACATTGTGCCGTACTACTCCACATGAGATTGCGTTCAAATGTTGACATTCGGGTGCATTCTGTCTTATTTTCTTGTATTCTGTTTTATGCTGCTTTATACTGTATTACATTATGTCACGTTATGTTGTATGATACCATCTCATATTATATTGTGTTACATTAGCATTGTACGAACTGTTGTCATACTGTGTTATGTTTGTACTACATTATTCTATGTTGTATTGTGTCATCTTGTGTACTAACTAACATATGTATAATGTACATTAAGGGTCAACTTATTACAGTATGTTTCAACACATTTCGATTTTGTTGTATATATCATTTTCTACGATGTGACCCTACTACTATACCTGGGACTCTATTGTATGATACTTTGCTACATTCTATATCGGGCTTCAAGCCGGCTCCGAGGAAGTGATGCGTCCACCCGAGTGATCATCGGGCGATGCTTGCGTCAACGCCCAAGGTGATAGAACGTCCGGTGCAAGCTTCTTCAGCATTAGGGTTTCGAGTCGATGGTCTCAAGGATTAGAACCGTGTTGTAGCTTCTGGACTCGATCCGACTCCCACGGCCAGTCAGCATGAAAGGCATCGACTCTGAATACTCAGGTTGCCTGCAAGCAGCGAAGCCTTCATCTTCAATATTCTTCGGCTGAGGGCAGGAAGAGCAGCTAGCCAGGACAACAGTGTTCATGGCAAATGTTTCAATGGCCTCCGCTGCCCAGCAGCTCGCTGGGCTGCAGAGCCTATGCTGGATACCACGGGCAGCTCGCCAGACTGGAACGTGGATGAGTAACTAACGATCCGGTAGTACAAATTGATGCTACGTGGGTGTGCTGCAGCAACAATCGCCTTCGTAGCGGTAGGAGCAGCAGCGGCGGCAGCAGCTGCAGTAGTTGTAGTAGATAGTCTGCGGGAGTGGTCGTGGTCTTTGAAGTCGATGCAGTAGTAGCCGTATTCGTGCAAGTCTTAAGCCGGTTGTGAGGTCTGAAGTTTTCTTCGATTCCGGTAGCACGTGCGTGAGCATGAGATCATCCAGCCAGAAACCACAGTCGACAGTATCGGTTGCACGTCATCGTCTCACAAAGCTTGGTTACACCGCACAACCATGAGGCATTGTTTTGGCATGTGGTTTGCAGCGAGAGTAGTTTGAAGACTTGGTGAAGAGCGCCAACAATTATCTCTTTGGAGCTTTTGCTCACCGTTCCGAAAGCGCAGGAATCGAAACTGTGCTTGAGCAAAGAGAAAGCATTCAATCGCTGAGATTGTCGGACATTTTTAAAAGCTTTGAGCCCATGGATGATGGGTTCGCTTGATTCTACTGCCAGCCGGTGCTCAACATCGGCAAGAAGATTCCGGCAGATGTGCTGTGAAAAATGTGCATGAAACGTAGGCACGGGCTTCGAGGCTTCTCAGAGGCCTCTGCAGGCATAAGTGCATCGGCCGGATGGAGATGTGGTCGCGGCTGAAATAGGCCATGTGCGGTTTTTTTTGAGTTTACTAAGCCTTCATTCGTATGTTGCATTGCCGCAGTGCTCCGCTCCGCCGTGCCCGTGTTGCCTGTACTGCGAAGCTTCGATGTTGTTGCGTACGGCTTTGGTTGAGCAAGCTCAACACGAGACCTGTTATTATGTGATTCTTCTTCATTGCGACTATTATGTCACGGTTATTTTGTTCATTCTCATAACATTATCTTTATGTTAATAACAACTATTGTTACTAGCACTATCCGTTTCAATATTAGCATGGGGATATTGACTATTGATGTTGGTATTGATATGATCATAGACTGTCATTGGTCGCTGTTACTGTTCTGGTTATTGTTATTGTTTGTATTGGTTTTGCAATTACTATTCGTATTGTTGTTGTTAGTGTCATTATCATTATATTTTCGACATGATGCGGCAGTCTTTCCTGGTTGCCGTACTAAGCAGTCGCAAGGACATGCAAGAAGAAGCATCTGCACTCTTTCCACATGTTCTAGCATGAGCTGCGAGTTCTGGACTATGATTGACTTTAGCTCCAGCTAGTGGAGAGATCGAAGCTTCTGTCTGCGGAGCTGCGCGAATAGCGCGCCCATCGCAATGACGTGGTTTGAAACTTTGCGAAGACAGCCATTGAAAATCTGTGTCAGAGCGTCTTGCTCATCTTTCCCGAGTTGCAAGCGGCGAAGCTTGTGTATGCAAGCCCAGACTTCGTGGGCTCTTTCTTGTTTCTGCCCCGTGCCAAGAAACGAGGACGAGGACTCGTGCACCCGCACCCCGAAAGAATGCCTCAAGTCCCTTGGAAAGGAGCATAACAGCATGTCGTGTTAGTAGTTTTCGGGCGACCGGGGCATGGAACAAGCCAGAGGCTTGTCAAATTAATTTGAGAGAAGAGGCCGCGGTTCGGCCTCTGCCTTCTGTCCCCGTCCGAGTTACATAGACAAGGGTTCAAGGATCTGCCTAAAGGCAATAGTTTCAGTGGAGAGGAGGGGCGACAGCTCAAGAGCCTGGGAGATCAGATTCGTGGCATCAAGCTGGCTTTCGACCTGCTTGAGAGGCGGAGCTCTCTCCCCCAGGCTTAACTCTGCGAATCTTCTGGGAAAAAGGTTTCGAGCCACCAGGGTCAACTTCGAGTTCTGTGGTTTCTCAGCAGATTCTGGGTAGTGTGCAGGAGGAGTTTGGGGGGTGGGGCGGGGTGGGGATGTTCGGGTGCTTTCAGTTCTTGCCCTCCGGCTTGCAAACGTCTCATAAACTCAAGCTTCCACCGTCGCACTGCTGTGTTGTTCGATGTCGTTGGGTTGCTGTGTGCTGCTCTTGACTGCTTCGGAAGGGAGATGAGTGTGGTGCCGGAGAGACAGCCTCTTGCCTGTCAAATTTCGACTGAAAGGTTGACATGCGATGGTTTCGGAAGGGTGAGACCTTCGTAAACACAAGATGCAACCTGTTCAATTGTGCCACAGTGCCAAAGGGTGATGTCCATGTCCAAAGCGCTCTCAGACTTCGCTGTGCCCGCAGCCATTAAAGTCTCTCACAGACCCGAGGGGGGTGTTTAGCTACTTTGTCGAAGGTGCCCGAGTAAACCGGGACGCGCCAGAGCCCCGTGGCCATCCAGGAGCCCTCGTACGAGAAAACAGTGATCAATAACGCTAAATGACGGACTTGCACTTACGGGCAGCCGAGAAGCAGAAGAGGGTCTCAGTACGTCAAAGCAGAAACTGTCAACTTTTGGAGCTTGCATTGAACACATTGGTACACACTATTCTACAAAGCTACTCGGAAATATTTACGTCTGTTTTCTGAAAATGAATGAGCTGGAGTAGCACAGCCTATACCGAAGTAGAAACCGTGGAGTCAGCATTGCAAGTGTGCACCGTGGCTGGATGCCATGAAACCTGAATGCCAGACGAGAGAACTAGCGTTTCTATCTATCTTTGTGTGTGTGTGGCTAAGATGCTGCACCGCAAGTAAGCCCAATACCCTGATCACAAAATGTCACGGCATGCAACACCGTGTAACGTGTAGAGCAGGGATACCAAAGCTAATTTTCCCCAAGCTGAGTGGCAAACACATGGGGATCTTATGTTAGGGGTACTTACCACAGCTCCGACATGTCGCAATTATTCCATGTCCCGCGCACCGTCGTGTGCTTAGGTGTAAAGTCGTGGCATCGCTAAGTGTGGAAGGCTCCTGGACCGTTCCACGGGCTTCTGGCTCTGCTGCTCCCTGGTGAGTGCAGAGCGTGCCGTAGCGTGCGATGGAAGATGCATCAAAGCTGCTTTCCAAGATCGTATCCTGGCTGGGATTGCTAGGTCCGCCGGCAAAGTCTTGCAGATACAGGGTGGGCTCCTCCGTTTCCGGCTGGAAGTTCCTCTTTCAGGTGTGGCAATCTGGAGACTTGAGAAGTTGCAGCCAGGCTGCCGTGCAGCTACAAGTGAGAACAGTGCACACCTGTCTGCCGCCAAGTATCCTTAAGAATATAGCATCTGCGTGAGTTTCGAGAGGAGGTTTGCAGAACTCTCTACGCCATCTCAGGAGCTTGACGACTACACCATTACGGAAGTCCGAAATGGATGGGAAACGGTCGCGGCTTGCCTTGTTTAGGCGTTCCTTCGTTGTGTTGGCCCAGGGCTTGCCCTTGCCGCACCGATGCAAAGAGGTTTAGAGCTGCTCATGCATTTTGCATTAGGTGGAGCTGCCATGTGTGTTTCGACAGGGAGAATCTGCGGAACAAAGCCCTGCAGTCGACATCGCAAGTCAGACTCGAAGCATTCCCGGACAAGGCCTAGCAAGCTAGCGCTCTGCAGCACTTGCACCATCTTGCAACACTACCAAGAGTCTGTACAGAGCCGCCTCGCTGCCGAAGCCTTACCTTTGGTTAGTAGGGAATGGAAGAATGGTAGTAATAGTAGCTATAATTGTACCCCATTCTTCCATTCCCTACTAACCAAAGGTAAGAAGCTCCTAGGAGAAGCGGCTGGGCGGGCCTCGGGAAGCTGGTGACTTCGCCACCTTGCGGCAAGGCGAAGCGTCGATTCCTGGAGCAGGAGATGTTGAAAAGGGGATGAGCTTGACTTACCTTTGGTTAGTAGGGAATGGAGGAATGGGGTAGAATTATAACTACTATTACTACCATTCTTCCATTCCCTACTAACCAAAGGTAAGTTGAGTGAGGCTGAGGGTTCAAGGGCATGAGCATCTTCCGCAAGAGGAACATAGCTGGGCTGACTAAGTACATGGAGACTATCTGGCAGGGGCTTTAGGAAGGCCGCTTGAAGCTGCTGCGGAGGGGTGTGACGAAAGTTTCAAGTTGCGGGAGATGGGGGGCATCTGTACTTCTTCGTGAGACTTGCGTATGACTCCATGACACTTCATCCGCGATCAGGCCAACTTCTGCCAGGTGCATTTTGGCTTTTTACAATGCCATCACGTGAGATTCTCCCAATGAGGCCCACGATCCGTGCAGTCTCGGAGCACTTTCAAGGAAGCCTCCTCTGCGGGCGACCAAGGTCTTCAAACTTCTGAAAGATGCTGTGCCCCGGACAGAGGGCATGCTGATACTTGACTGAGCAACAATCTTGCATTGTGTCGGCCAGCTTTCAGGGATGTGCGATGAAGCAGGTGAAGGCCAGATGTTCCGCTAGCAGACCCTTGCTGGCTCGAATGCCCCGATGTTCCAACAGAGCTTCAGAACCCCCGATGCCTTCGAAAGTCGGGGATTCCGGCTTTAAAGCACGCGCCCTCTAATCGACTTCGATCTGTTGTCTGCATCAAGCTCTGGTCGAAGAGCGTACGTGACAAAGGGACACATGCCTGTACTTTTGCATGCTTCTCCTCTACATTCAAGGGGCATGGCTAATGCAGACTCCGCATGCTCCCTACTATACGTCTACATATATCTGGGTTGGGCCGAGGCCACGGCAGTCATGAGGTTAAAGCAAGCAGCCAAGGAAGAGGTCCAGCACAGTGTGGCACCTCCTCGACGGGTCTTTCGCCAGAAAGAAGAACATCTATGTCTCATTTTCGCAGATCTCCCCTGCCAGAGTCTTTAGCTAGGAGATTTGTGCTATCTCAGGCGTAGTCTCGTTCAAGCTCTCGTCATTTCGCCTTCCCTTTAACTTTTTTGTTTCACTGGCCGAAGGCTTGAACCTTGAGAAGCAAGACTTGAAGAGAGCTGCCCGCTACCTGCAATGGAGGCTGATGCAGGCCCTGAGCGACCCCGATCTGATGCAAAAGCGCATGGAGTACATTGCTTTGTGCCCGACTCAGCTTGAGTTCACAGCGAATGAAATCTAAAGAAGAGCGGATGAATGCAAGATTCAGCACCGGCATGCCTTGTGTGCACGAATCGTGTGTGTGAGAGAGAGAGGCGCCACATGAATGCGGACATCACGACGGCTGATGTCGAGGTCAATTTGACACAGTTGTCGTTTCATGCATGAGCCGTGGATCAGATTCAACCCTGCCCACCCTGCTCGTAGGCAACGTGGCATGTGGCAACATGCTGCAGTCACGTTGGCTCCAAGACATGTGTCGGGATTTCGTCAAGCACACTCTTCAACCTTTCATTGGCCTTCATACTTGAGAATCCTGAAGCGATGCTGCGCAGTTTCACATGCTAGACTCGATTTGGAAGAGGTCTTCAAGGGCATCCTCCTGGAAGTTTGTGCGAAGAAGCTGGGGGGCCTGATGACTCCAGAGTTTCAGCCGCTTGGACAGCCCGAGAGCCAATCGATGCGTCGGCTCAAGCGTGGTGCAGTCTTGGGTGTCCAAGCCAAGTGTGCCAGAAGTATTCGCCCGCCTACCTGCCTGTGTTGGGCACAGTAGTCTCACAGGGCTGGTGACCGGCTGCTTCTGAGTCCGCTCCCTTTCTTATCGTGATCGAGCATGCATCCTACTGGCAAACAGGTTCGGCCTTGGCCAGATCGTGACTGCCATAGGCATCTCATTGGCTAACACGCACGCGCGACTGGGCGCGGTTGGATTTGGGGTTCTTGCAGAGGTTTGGTTTTTTGGGTGAACAGTTGAAGGGTACCCAAAACCCTAAACCCTAAACCCTAAACGGTTAACAAAAAATACCTAAACGGTTAGGGTTTAAGGTTTAGGGTTTCGCTTCAAGATCGGATGACAGACCCGGAAGGTTCCGAGAAGGGGTTTTTGCCATCAACCTCAAGGAGATCCTTGGGTTCTTAGCTTGGGGACCCTAAGAAAGTACCCCAAATAGTAGGATCCTTATAATAAGGACCCTAAGATAACGTACCCCTAATATCCGGATGCTCATGGCGAAGAAGACGTGTGCAAAACTCGAGGCACTATGCGCAGCGACTTCGGCTTCTAACTGGCTGCTGGAAGGAGGCCTGCTCATTATATATATATATATATATGTATGCATATGCGTACATACGTATATACACAAATAACTACATATGTATGCATATATATATATATATATATATATATATATATCGTTATATTCTGATAGATAGACAGATAGATAGATTACATATATACCGCATATACTAGATATGCCGTATATAGGACATATAGTATATATAGTGTATATATATATATATATATAGTAGATACAGTATATACAGTATATACAGTATGTACAGTATGTACAGTATGTACAGTATGTACATATACTGACATATACTGTATAACACATATCGTGTGTATGTATATAGTGTGTATATATATATATATAAATATGTAGTATATGTAGGATATGTAGGATATGTATATATGCCGTATATGTATATATTATACATCGTTTATTGTAGTATGTATCGTATGTTCACATAGTACATGTAGTATGTATGCATGCGTGCATGTATGTATGTATGTACGTATGTTTGTGCGTATGTACGTGTGTATGTATGTATATATATATATATATATATATAGATATGTGTGTGTGTACGCTAACAGGGGTGTATATATATATATATATATGTGTATATGTGTATATGCATGTATATATATATATATATACACATAATATACACATAGTACATACAGTGCACATAGTACATACAATATGTATGCATATACAGCATATATATATATATATATATATATATAGATGGATATACCGTTAAACATAAGGCTGACTTGTGTACCTCGTTCATGGGATTCCACTGTCATTCGAGCGAGCAGGTCAATGCTACCGAGGATGATGCCGCGGAGGATCCGTAAGAAGGGAGAGCTCTAAACGTCTGGACTTGCGCTGTAACAGTCTGCTGCCAGCGGCATACAGCCACGGTGACAATTTGCGATAGTTTTTGCTGGTTTGAGGCTTGTGGGATCCACTGATTTCGTCAGGAGCAAGAGGAGAAGCCTCAAGACTCCGATTCCCCGGACGAGGCCCTGCGGTTTGGAGATTAATTCTGCTCGGTTTCTATCCCGGGACCGCGCGGTTTTCTTGGGAGTCGCACGAGCCTCGCCTGTGTCCGACCTTCTGAGCGTTGTCATGGCAGTCAGCTGTGCCAGCAGCTCCAAGCTGTCTTCATACCTTAGATTCGCAGAGGCCTCACCCACCGAGCACACGGATAAGAAAGATCACGACTTGAGTTCCATGGAGAAGGGCGAGGAGGCCTGGTTTGGGAAGTTGCGTATAAGGGTTCGGACTTGGAGTTCGAGCTCGTGGATGTTCCTGTAACTGTGTTCATACCCGTGCGTATCTTGTTCATTACCCTGGTGACAATGGCAATTGCTCGCACAGGGCAGCGGCGCTTGGAAGTCACAATGTAGGTTTCGCACGGTCGAACGGTCACAAGTTTCAAGCAGTCGCAACACTTGACTCACAGTCGAGGGGCCGCCTCACGTGTTGCAGCTTGCTGATAGGGGAGAGAAAAGTCACCGTGTCCATCAGCTTCTCAATGATCAAACCAGCAGGCGTCGCAGTTTTACAGAGACTGGGGAGTTGTTCTTGGCCTGGAGAGTATCGGTCTTGTGAGAATTCATGACCCGACGTCGGGCACCTTTGACAGGATCGTCATACGAAGTGGAATGACAACGGCAACATGAACATTCCCAAGACCTTTGCAGCGATGGCACGTTCCGTGGTACTTGGATTCTGTCTGTTGGGTTGTTTGTAGGTGCAAGTGCGACAGGAGCTGTTCAAGCTGAATTGCTAGGAGCCGGTAGATTGAATGTTGCTTTATCAAGGTTCGTTGTGTGTCTAGCGCGGGTACCCCAACACAACCTTTAGCACCAGCGACCCATCGTCCGTGACAGAACCATTCACCGTGACCTGCAGATGCTCCTTACGAGCTGAGAACGAACCGTGAAGAGGACATCAATGAACATGTTTCATTTGCATTTCATTTAGCCAACAGCGGCTATCATATTTGCAGGCTTGCTTGTATTAGCTAGCTTGTCGGGAGACACATCGATGCGACAAACAAGCCAATGCAGATGCTTCGATACTGTGCTTCCCTGTGTCACGTCCACTGCACCCGTCAACGAGTTTGCACGTTTGTTAAGACTCGGTCGCTTAGGAGCTGGACTCGGAAATCCAAGACGGCCCCACACCACCCTGAAGCCTAGGCGTCTGTTCACCCAGCAGAGTTGGTCATGCTTGGTCTTTGGTGAGGTCCGAAATTGACTCTGCTGGGTTTGGATGCCAGATGTTGCTCAGGTTGACCTCCTGCAATTTTTAGAGGTGTCCGCTTGACCCTTGCCTCTACCCCTCCGTGGTATTCCGAGTGGATCGAGAATAGTACTTAACAAACTCCGGCCCAGGTTTCAATGCTTCGGTGATGGGTATTGGCGACCGTACTTCGGCAGCAACTGGAAAGCAGGCCCAGGTGAGGAAATCTTGCGTGCAAAAGAGAACAGGTCCACGTTGGCTACTGAGAAACAAAGAACACGACTGGCAACATGTGTGATCGTAGGAATCATGTTGCGAAATCTTTCTCGGGCAAGGCTTTAAGTGAAAAGGGACCATACCCTGAACCCGGTAAAGGACCCCTATCGATGCTCACGATGCTCTTATGGGGTCGGGTCTTGAGCTGGCAGGTTTCCGACCGCTGCTGTGGTGTGTCAGTAGAAACATGTTGGGTGCAGCGACATGCGAGTACGACGAGACGACAAAGACCTCGCAGCACCGCCTATCATCATTATCGCCCTCTTCCTGCTCCTCCACCTGCTCCTCCACCTCATCCTTATCCTCATTCTCAGCATCATCATCCTCAAGCTCATCCTGGTCTTCATCCTCATCATTCGCATGGTCCTCATCTTCCTCATCATACTCCTCATGATCCTCACAATCGTCCTCGCCCTCATCCTCATCCTTGTCATCATCATTATCATCGTTCTCATCCTCATCCTCACCCTCATCATCTCCATCCTCCACTATTCTCCTCCTCCTCTTCCTCCTCCTCTCCCTCCTCGCCCTCCTAGCCCTCCTCCTCCTCCTCCTCCTCCTCCTCCTCCTCCTCCTCCTCCTCCTCCTCCCTCGCATGAGCATCATGAGCATCATGATTATCGTCAGCATCATCAGCATCATGAGCTTCATCATCATCATCATCATCGCCATCACCACCATCATCATCATCGTCACCGTGGTCATAATCACCACCTGTATCATCGTCATCATCATCTTCTCCACCATCACAACCACGCCACCAGCATCATCGGCATCAGCATCACCGTCGTTGCCATCAGCATCACCATCACCGTCATGATGATGATGATGATGATGATGATGATGATGATGATGATCATCATCATCATCAGCAGCATCCTCATCGGCATCAGCATCAGCATCAGCATCATGATCACCATCAGCATCATCATCATCATTATCGCCAACATCATCATCATCACCATCATCATCATCATCATCATCGCCACCATCATCGCCGTCTGTCATCATCATCATCATCATCATCATCATCCTCATCATCATCATCACATCACAATCATCGTCGTCGCCATCGTCAGCATCATCACCATCATAAAGCACCACTATCAGCACCACCGCTACGCCGCCTCCACCAGCAGCAGCAACAGCAGCAGCAACATCATCACAACAATCATTGCCACGACCATCATCATCATGATGCTGATGATGGTGAGTATCATCATCATCACATGTCGGTTTTGCTCAAGACTCACTGTTAAGGCACCACGCACCAAAGAGCAACTGAGAAAGATTCATGTAGCCTTGGACAGCGCCACGCGGAGGGGGAGCGGAGGGCAGAGAAGGAGTGACGTCACCGAGCATGCCAGGAAATGACCAGGTGCACTACGCGGCATACTGTTACGACTGCTGTGCCTTATACCTTCCGCTTTTGAGCTTCCGTCTCCCTCGGTTTTACCTTGTCCATAGCGACATAGTGATCATAAATTCATTACAGTGAGCAGACCTCTCGAAGTAGGCGCATCTAGCCTTTTCGACTTGGCTGAATGCCCGTGTGCCAGCATTATTCGTAGATCCGACTACCCTGCGTAGGAATGCCCGAAGTTGCAGAAAGAAGCCAAGATATGCCAAGAAAGGCATGTGGTTTGCTGATCTTCTCTACTCCATGGAGTCGCTGGTGCCCCACATTGGCAATGTCGACCGCGTTCAGGACGGGTCTAGGGGTTTAGGGATTTAGTGGATTAGGGGGTCTGGGTAAGGGATAAGGGTTTAAAGCTTGGGGTGCCGAGATCTTGACCAGTTGATGTGGACCGATGAAGTTGTCCAGGAGGAATGTGATGTCCTCGCATTGACATTGGCCCACTACGACAAGGTCGGGTTTGCAACAAGAACGGGATGATAGAAGGCTGGATTGCCATCATGGGGTTTTCAGCGGGCAAAGGTGCAAGCATGTCCAGATGTCGGTTTTTTCGGCCCACAGAAACCGAAAGCAGCGAAATGCAGGTGCCTTGATGTGCCTTGCAGGTCAATCTCGGTGAGTTCCGGTCCGTGATGTTCGCAAGCCTCAGGCTGCCGAGAAGGGGGAGACCAGGATCATGGTGTGAGGTTATAGGGCTGCTAGGTAGGAAGAGTTGGTGTCTTGCCGAGCAGGATTGAAGTGTGTCTTCACCTTTTGGACCCAAAAGGTCGCTCTTGCCGACAGCCTGGAGCCTCGAGCACGAGAATGCTTGGTCCTGGTTCTGGACCTGTGTGGAGAAGAAGGCCACGCCCGTGCCGGTATGTACGGCTCTTTCTGACAGCAACGGCGTACCGGTGCGATGGCTCTGGCTCTGCGCGTGTGCCGTTTCTGTTTTGCCCCGTGCCAGGTGGAACAGATCCGGCAGCTTCCGGTGCGGAATCAGCAGTGCCTGACGCTTCCCTGAAGATTTTGTCATCGCTTTTTGGCTCTGTCTTTGAGTCAGGGAGCTTTTGGCGTGTCCTTTCTGAGGAGAACATTTCTCTCTCGACTGGACGAGGTGGGAAAGCCTGGGGAGCCTAAGGCCGTACGTACAAAGACGAAGATGCCAGGGTCTGGGCTCTGGGACCACAAGTTTCGGACTGCAAGCCGATTCCGATAAACTTGAGCAAGCCGGATGATGGCCAACCTGTCAGCTCTTGTCAGCATGGGCTTCGATTAGCATCCCGTGCCTCAGAGGATACTTTGGCCACGTTCAAGCTGAAGGTCTTCGACACGTTTTTCGCAAGTTGCGAGGAGACTCTCTCTGGGTGTCTGGGAAGACGCGGCGCCTGTAATGCTCGGTTTCAGATCACCTTGACATGCATGTGCCGCTTTCAATCGTCGTGAGCAGAGCCTGAGTGAGGCCGTTTCCATGCGCAGAATGTTCGGACTGAGCCACTTTCATGTCGACAGCACGGAGTGTTTGACACTCTGGCTTCACAAGCTGGCGCATCTCGGGAGGAGTCTCAGCTCTACTTGCGTGCCGCCAACAAGCGCCTCCAGTACATCATGGGACGGACCCACGGAAAGACTGGGGATTCCGTTCTGCGTCGTGCGTCCTTGAAAGCTTACAGTAAGCCGTTTCGATATCGTCCAGGCTCCTCGCCCATTCATTCTTTTCTGTCTAGCCCGGCAGTGTGCAGCACAGTTTGGGGAATCTGCTGGTGGCTGTGATACAATGTCGAAATGCCGCAGACCTTGTCGTTGCATGTCTACTCTCTGCAAAAACTCCTGGTTGTCATTCTCATTCCGGACTTGATTGGAGTCAACTTCCGAGAGGTGGCGAAGACAAGGCCGTTCCTCTTGAGTGAACCTTCCCTTTCAGCAGACTCCCGTGGTGTGCTCCCAGTGCGAACTCTGTGGATTCATGCATGTGCCTCTGGCTGAACCGACAAATCGGCTCACAACAAGGATCTTGACCATCATGTCCGACGTTTACACCAAGACTCACAAGGCCTCTGAAATCCTGCGACATGTCGGCTAGATTCCTGCGGCCTTGCCGGTAAGGTGGAGACTTGAGAGTGAAGAACATGTGTCCAACATCCACCAGCGAAAGCTTAATTCCTTGGTACGCCTGCTGACGTCAGTGTGGAAGGCAGTCATCGCAATCTCTGCCTTGGGCCTTCTGCATGCGGGCCATGGGGTGCCAGAGGCCGACTGTTTGATTACAACAAAGCATTGCGATGGTAATGTGATTTCTGCCCAGTGCTCTGAATGCCAAAGTGATCAAATTCAAGCGCCCCTGGCGAAGCTGGTGCAGAATACCTTTGATGATGTATATATATATATATACACACACACACTTATCTACTTTACATGTCTGCACAGTGTGTATGTATGTATGCATGTATGCATGTATGTACGTACGTACATACGTAGGCACGAATAAGACAGATGAGCACAAGTCAGCATGGGAAACTCAACACCCGAAACCACAGCGTCCAGATAAAGACTAGGCAACATGGCCAAAAGCACAGCACACGTAGAACACAGAACCGATCGCGGTGAGAGCCATGAAGTCCTGCAGATCTCGGAGGACCACGGCCTTGGAATGCCTTGCCGACTGCTTGTCGAAAAGCGAATCACAAAGCGATGTCGCTGGGCCTTTGTTTCCGTTTTACACCGTGCCCATGGATACATTGCTTGAAATGTCAGAAATCGAACCCCATGAGGAGCTCAAGGCAAGGGGTGCGCTTGTGGAATTCACGGCAGACAGAGGGAATGCTGCGTTTGTATCACATCAGTGGGCCGGCCACAAGCATCCAGATCCAGAGCTCAAACAGCTTCGTGTTTTGCAAGACGCCCTGCATTACATAAAGTCCGAGCTCAAGTCGATTCCACTGGATTTTTTCTCGGAAACGATGTTGCCAGGAGCCAAGGGCCTCAGCACGAAAGAGGTCACTTGCAGACCACTTTATTTTTGGTACGATTACTTCTGCATCCCTCAGCTGGAGCGATCGAGTTTGATTGATGGACGAAGGTCTGGAAGCATGTTGGCCCTTGCTGTCGAGTCCATACCAAAGTACATCGCCAGATGTAGTTTTTTTTTCGCGCTTTGCCCTACATTAGAAGATGTGCACCAGTCCCAAGTGCTGACTCCCGGCAGCTGGGCACAAAGGGGTTGGTGTCGAGCAGAAAGAGCTATACGGGAGCTATCTCAACATGAGTCCTGGATCATAATCAAAAGCCAGAAGCGACTTGAGCTGGTTGCATCGCCAGTTGCGTCCTTGGGCGGTTCGCCAGGGCAAGGCATGTTCACGCACCAGGAAGACCACAGCCTGCTTGGGCAAACCTTCTTGCAAGTGCTGAGAACCAAGTTGGTGTCATGCCTGCGAGACCGAGACTTTGTCGGATATCGTGTGCACTTGAACCTGCAAAGTGTTTATCTCAGAGGTTTTGCTGTTGATCCTCTTGCTGGCTTGGTGCCACAATCTGCAGAAGTAGATTTGCCTTCGGGGCCGGTGGTGTTTACCCAGTTCATGCACCAGAATGGCTTCATGACGCTCACCGAGAAGGATGGCGCTGGCTGGTGTCCGTTGCATTACGCCGCCCTCAGTGGGAACGTGCATCTCATTCAGAGCCTGCTCCATCAGCGAGCAGACCCCAACACGAAGACAACAAGGGATCAACCGAGGGTCGGAATGCCGCCGCGGACTTCGGCTCTCGGTATCTGCGCTTATTTCCGGCACAACGAAGCTCTGCAGCTGTTGCTCCAGGCACGGGCAAAGTTGGACACTGGCTTGCTGCCGCCCTTGCACTTGGCAGCCATGTCGAACAACGCAGATGGTGTCCGGTTGATTTGCGCAGCAGGCTGCAGACCCGATCTGAAGGATGTCCTCGGTTTCTCTTCTTTGGAATATGCCACCGGAAAGGGCTCGAGTGCAGCATTTGAAGAGCTCTTGTCTCGGACAGCTCCCACAGCGGAACTTCTATCCAGGTCTTTGTTCTTAGCCATGTCAGACCGGGGGGGTTCTGCAGAGCTGACAAGGCGGCTTCTTGACTGTCGCGCAGATGCCAACTTCCAGTTCAATGAGCCCCTGACTACGCCGTTTGGACTTTACTTGTGCTTTAAGCGCATGCAGCACAGGGCTGGGCGAATCTCTATAGCTTCCACGGCAGCCATGGACGCGCGTGGCGCCACGCCTTTGATCGCTGCACTGCACGCAGGCCAGTACGAGGGCGCTGCTGCGCTCTTAGCTGCAGGAGCCCGACCTGACCTGCAAAACCGACGCCGCCGAACAGCTGAAGACATTGCTCGAGATGGATGTGTACCAGCGTTTCTGATGGATGCGATGCAAGGACAAATGGCGGATTGTGAGCGACTGGTCGAAGCGGCACAAATAGTGTCTGTGCGTTTCTGAGAGGTGCACAGGTGCACTTCCGAAGCGTGTTCTTCGTTTCACCTCGGAGCCAGCAGCCAATCCGCTCCGCTCCCTGTTTCGCTTTCCTCTTGGAAGCCACCAAGAAAGTGCTGAAGGTTGGTAGCTACCCTTCTGAATGCACTTCTGAGATGTTTTCTTCGTTTGACTTCGGCACCGGCAGCCAAGCCGCTCGGCTCCCTCTCCCACTTTTCTCTTGGAAGGCAAGAAGAAAGAGGGCTGGACTGCATGACCGGAGACAGCTCACATAGAAGCATTTGCAAGACCAGCATTGTTGCACCGCCCAAGGAGGCACTGATAGGGGGTTCCTTTGACCTAAACCCTAAGGATGTGTCAGAGTCTGAACCCATGAAGACCCCAGCTGATGCTGGGGCCTATGGGATTTTGGGTTTTGTCAATACACTGGCATCGCGACCAATATTCCAAAACCCAATTCTAACTGTTAAGGCCCCCATATTCCGATAGCTGCCACCGCAGTGTGAGTTTCTGTCTAGCCATGAAAAGTCTATCTAAGTCTATGTATCTGTAGATTGTTTGTACATACATACACACGAGCGTTTCATGCCGAGCATGATGCCCCCTGACAGGACTTGGTGCGCCCTTTTGTCCAAGCCTTCATGCCGCTCGGCCTCGACAGTCTGCGTGCGTGGGCCAAGCCGCTCCATTTTGTTGAGGTGTTCTATCAAAGAGGAAGTTCCAGACGAGTCCATCCACGATGGGCTCTGGTGGACACTGGACCTGATCGGAAGGACTGGGATTCAAGTACGGCAGTGTCAAGACGACGATCGTCTGTGTAGAGCTATGCTAGGTCCTCAACCCCAGCTGTGCCCTCAATTTCACCCCTCTCGCAGAATCTTCATTCGGACATTATCAGAGGGCTCCACTCCAGTGATCATCGCCATCAACAAGAACAACACGAAGGACGGAATCCAGGGGCACGGACAGCATATAGGATTGAGGGGCTGGATTGAATTTCGAACGTCAGCTGTCGGGTCGAGGATTGTCCCGAGGTTGTCCAAGTGCATGTTCCATTCCGAGAGCTTCTGCTCCTGTATCTGTTTCTTTCGAACTTGTCACGAGCTAGGAATGGCTTGGCTGTGAGATGTCGGGGACGATGGCTCGTGACTTACCGTTGGGTAGTAGGGAATGGAGGAATGGGGTATAATTATAACTACTATTACTACCATTCTTCCATTCCCTACTAACCAAAGGTAAGTTGAACCCGAAACCCCAAACCCTAAACCCTAAACCGTGAAAGGTGCTGAACACCGCCGTCTCCAACGCGCCCCGCGGGCAGCGCGAAGTGATTTTGCTGCGGGTCCAGGCTGGCCATGGCATAGGACGGATATTAATACTAATATTAATACTAATATTGATACTAATACTAATATTAGTACTAATACAAATACTCATAATAATATTAATACTAATATCTGTAGCTTACGTGGACAGCTTGGAAAGGTCGTAAGGTCGCTAGCCGAAGGGTTTCGTTGGCATGGAAGAGTGCCGAGGGAATCTGCCGACAAGTTCCCAGTGGCTAGCAACGGCGTAAGAGCGAGATGGATTTGGAGACGTTGAGGATGGGTAGAAGTGCTGCAGAAGAGAACCACGCGTGTCCACTTGTGGACGGGGGAAACGTCCGTTTCCATCGGCAGATGAAGTGTTTGTAGAGTGAGACAGGCCTTTGGCAATAGACACACAGGGCTAGTTGCAGTTGTGACAGTGTGGTAGTTGCTTCATCTGCGCACAGGTGGGTACGGAGTCCATGTCGCCGTTGGTCTGGGCGGTGGAGAAGGCGCTGTACTTCGGGATCTGGGCTTGAATGCAGCTGCTTCCGAGCGCTTGTGAGGTCCCATTGTATCTTGTGAAGGTTGGTAGCAATTTGGATTGGAGTTGAAGGTGATGGAAAGTTTGCGGTTGATTGTACTGTTCATCCTCTGTCGTTGTCGACAAGAAGAGGCCCAGACCACATCTTACAGTGGAGTGGAATTCAAGCCTAGACTAGGGTGTGGGCTCACGTCAGCAATGTGATTGTTGCTCTGGCTGCTTCTCAGGGTGCTCTGGAATCCGCTGGCGCGATTCTCAAGGCGCCCGAACGAGGGAAGAGTACGCACAATAGTCATCCGAGCGTGCAAATGCTTCCTTCATATCGGGTGACAGCTATATTCCCCCAACCTGCTCCCAAAGAGCAGGTGCAAGCCGGCTTGCAAATCCGCCCGAGAGAAACCAGCAGACCATAACTCCAACAGACCTAGCGCCCAATACGAAGTATTGACTTGTAGCAATGCCGCCGTGTTTGGTAACGTCCCAATCCCGATCCCCCCAACCCTCCTGTTGATTCAGGACCTGCTCACGATGCGGGCGGATCGCGGCCGCTACTACTATGGCATGGCGGCTAAGTCGCAACAGTAGAGTTTGATGGTGCTGATCCCTCAAGCGAACCAATGTGTCTGCTCCTAGGAAGCGATCTTCAGCCGCCATCCAGTATCGCGGCAAAGTCTGGATGCCGACTGTAGGAGTGCTGTTCCCTGCTGATGCCAGAGGCATGTTCATGTTTGGCCAAATCCGTTCCATTGCAAGTAGTCTCTATGCTGCAGTCTTGCCGAGCTTGTTGCTTGCCTTGCAGCTGCCATCTCAATCATCTCATATTAAGCATCGACTCAGCGATTCGCGGGATACTGGCTGATTGTGCTCGGGGAGCCTCTGAGGACATCATTCCCCTGCTTTGCAACAAGGCCGGGCCGCGGTGTCGCCAAGTCTTGTGAGTGGAAGCCAGCTTGTTTGGAAAGCCGCTTCTTGAGTTTGGTTGGCACAGAGTGACGGATGTGGCAGGCCCCATCGCTTCTGGTGACACTGCTGGATGGGCTCATTTGGCGTTCCAAGAACGTGAGACAAGGCCGGGGCAGGCTTGTGAGGGAAGGCCATGGCTTGGGAGATGGAGACATCTCTGGAAGGGAACAGCCTTCGACAGCAAGGCAAGGAGAGATGCCGCTGAACGCGACTTGATTCTCTTTGAGCAACAAGATGTGTGCCTGCCGACTTTCGTGGCGGGCGCAGGTCCGCACACGGCTGGGATGACATGTTCCGATGCCGAGTTGCAGGGTGACCGCACTTTGATTTGTTAGCGCATGAACGAGTTTGGGAGCAATGTTTTGTGCGCTTAGTGCGGAATCTTGTGACGAAGAGATGAAGACCGGCAAATGCAGCAGGCAGTGGTTCATCTTTGCAAGGGTTTACTGTTGAAGCTGCATGTCGCTGAGAGGCATGCGTCGTGTGAACTACTACATAAGCTCCATGCTGGTGGGCGATGAGGGCCAGCTGACGACTTCCCTCCTGGACCTGCTCCCTGGCACGAATCGCGAAGCAGAGGGAGTTCGCAACCTGTCATTCGTGTGGAGCTGGACTCGGGACTACGGCCGTGAGCAAAGTGTCAAAACGATCCCACCTAGGAGATCGGCCGAATACACGTTGCAACACAGTGCTTAGGATGGCAATGAACAAGTTGTGTTGAAGCTCTGTGTCTCAGCAATGCTCAGGATCAAGCATGGAGACCCTGAAATCGTTTGTCATCCTGCTGCCGTCTTCCAGGCTTCTGCTTTGACATGCTCCTTGAGGGTTCTTCCATGGGAGTTCGTTATACTATCATATACACCCTCCCCTCGCCCACCCCCTCACCCTCCCAACAAAAAAGAGAGCGCTAAACCCTAAACCCTAAACTGCCAAATCCCCAAACATCCCCAAACCCAAGGCTCATTCTTAAGCCACGGACGGGCGAAGTGAAGGCCGACCTGCTTTGGGCTCGGCTTTGTTGCCTTCCTTGGGCCGCCACGAAGGTCTGGTTTTGCGCGCAGCTCTCAGAAGTGGTCGCGTTTAGGGTTTAGGGTTTAGTGTGCTGGCTTAGTTCAGCAGCAGGGCTCCAAGGAAAGGCAAGGAGCACCAGAGGGAGCTGGCGTGCTTTGAGCGGTTTTACGTTTTTAGTGGCCATCTTTGGCATGCTTGATGCCTCGTCGTCGTACCCATACTTGCCTGTAGTTTGTTGAACATTGTGATCAAGCCTCACTTAAGGCGTCACTTCCCGAATCCATTGGAAGCCTTGTTTAGGTGACCCTTGGCATGTTCGTTGTTGCGGAGCAGCACGGCATCATAACGCTTGATGTCCGCAGCAAGCAGCGTTATGCGATCATTGCATGCCGAGCCTGCTTGCAGCTGGACTGCAATAATTCCTCTGCGATGAATGTTAAGCATGTGCAGGTGTGAAGTTCTTTCTACGTGTTTCTATCATTCACGGGAGCCAAGCTCAGGACAGGTGCTGCAATCTTATGTTGTTAGTATTGCATGTGCCATGACCTATGTATTCCTTGAGTAGGCCCGCATGACTACGACGTCGGAAAGAAAACATTTTGCAACAAGCATTAAGAATGCAAGTAGCGACAATACTAATGCTAATCAACGACACCAATTTCATGCTGCTGGTACTACTCCAGTATTGTTCTTATTATTTCTACTGCTACTACCACTACTACTACTACTAGTATTATTACTACTGCTACTACTACTACTACTACTACTACCCGCCACCGTGTTTACCGTACCCCTAAATATTGAAAAACGCAGCCACCGCTGTGGTGGCGTGCTTATTTCAGTGTATTTTGGAAGTACGCAAAAGACAAGGCTGTTTTGCGTTTTGTGTGGGAGGCGTTGCTCGAAAAGGTTTACGCGCGTGTGTTGTGACAACGTGTCTTGCTCCACATCCTTGTGCAGCATGTTGTACCAAGAGCCCAAAATGCTGTAAATACCAGCGTTTTGGGCATGATCGCCAAAGGCAGTGACATGAACATCAACCTGACCATCTTCATCATCATCTTCATAACCATCATCCTCGCCATGCTCAACATCATCGTTTACCTGATCATCTTCATCATCATCCTCATAGTCATCATCCCTATCATCATCCTCATAATCGTCGTCATCATCAACATAAGGCCGGTGATGCAGTTAACGATGATGTTGAAGATGGCGAGGATGATGGTTATGATGAAGATGGTCAGGTTAATGTTCATGTGATTGCCTTTGGCGGTCATGCCCAAAACACTGGTATTTACAGCATTTTTGGCTTTTGTACATGCTGCACAAGAATGTGGAGCAAGACACGTTGTTACAAGCATCCTACCACTGCTACTGCTACCGGCGCTACTGTGTTACTGCTTACGGTCAACCATGTCGTTATTAGCCCCCCTCCCCCCCCGTTACTGCTTACGGTCAACCATGTCGTTATTATCCCCCCCCCCCAGTCCCCAGTAGCCGATTTCACGGGTACGGTAAACACGCCGCTGGCTACTACTACGACTACTACTACTACTACTACTACTACTTCTACTTCTACTTCTACTTCTACTTCTACTTCCACTACTGCTACTCAATAACAATATGAGCAGTGTTCATAATTATGATTTTATCATCCAGGTACTTCTTCAGCCTGGGCCAGCTCCTGGTGAAGCACGCGGTCCAGAGTTATCGGGCGCTGCGCGCGAAGCGGACTCGGCTGCGTTTGAGGTTGCAGCTTTAGGGCTTGCGGTGCTAAGCTCCTGCTTTGCGCGTTGCGCGACGTGCGCGACGTGCATTCGCGAACAACAACAACAACAACCACCACGACTACTACTACTACTAGTAGTAGTAGTAGTAGTAGTACTACTACTACTACTGCTGCTACTACTGCTACTACTGCTACTACTACTACTACTACTACTACTACTACTGCTGCTGCTGCTGCTGCTGCTGCCGCCACTGCTACCACCACCACCACTGCAACCGCCACCACCACTGCTACCGCCACCACCACTGCGACCACCACCACCAGCACCACCACCACCACCGGCGCCGCCTCTTTTTCGACTTTTAGGGTTTTTCGGGTGCCAGTCAACGTCGCGTGCGCGACAGACAAACCCAAAGCACGGTAAGGTTTAGGGTTTAGGTCTCTCACTGAGCTTGGGTACATCAGCAACGCCCACATCTCAGCCGATCAGGCAAACGAGACGCTTCATTTGGCGCTGTCATTTGCCATCCTACTTGCTGCAGACTCTTCGCCCGCAAAAGCATTGTTTTGTGGTTGTTGCGAGAAGATCTGTTCTGCAGTCGTTCGACATGGAACCTGTTGAGTTTTCCTGATTTGAGTTCATTAACCAACACGGATGGGCCTTGCCCAACTCGAATCTCGTATCGATGCACCGTGGTCAAGGCCGGGGAAAGCTTGCTGTTGAACAAGTTAGATCCTCAGATCTGCTTTCTTTAGTTCTTCTCTTGGGTGTTGGGCGGTCTGGGACCGCTAAAGTGCTAAAGTGTGTCTAGTCTTTACTCGGCGAAAGCTGATTCACAACTCCATAAGCGTGTCACGTCGTCCCGGCACTCCTGCCGTGGATAGCTTCTGTGAGGTCCGGGCAGGAGATGACCGAAGTGATACTTCTGATTCTTCTTCTGTGTGTCCCGGCCGATAAAATTTCCGCACAGCAAGAGACGCTGAGAGTGCAGCGTCGTCGTATCTGGTTATTTGGACCAATAGTCCGGTTGTTGGCCTCGAGTGGGTGTGCACCGTCACGAGAAGACTCTGTCACTCGAGGCATGCTTTGCTGCGAGCCAGTGCTGCACTGCCTCTCTGCCAGTATCTTGGTGGCCACGTTTTACAGATCAAAGGCCGAGCCCGGTTCGTGCCCCTGGGGCACTGGAACATCAGCTTTCGCCTTCAGAAGTTGACTGGTAGTGGAGGCTCCAGGTCGCAGCAAGACTGCAGCATGCTGCAGCAGATGTAGTCGAAGTATACTCAGCGCACCGAGTTGTGGCTACTTGAGAGACATGCCAAGTCAAGTTGTTCAGCTGACTGTCAAACTCGCAGAAGTCATCCTAGATACTAGTTCGAGCCACAACCCACAGCCTGACACTCCCTCCGATACGAGGCAATGAACTCTTGGTGGACTGTTGCGAGTACGGGGAGTGGTACTGCACCGTGGCTCGAGTCTGTTGTCAGACATCGCTCCGCTCAGGGTGGTTGTCGTAGTTGTCTTGTTTGTTGTCTTGGACAGGCTCGGGTTGAGGCTATTGGCAATTGGGGAGTAAATTTGCTAGATAAGTTGCAGGTTCAAAGTCGTTCTCGAGGCATTCTTACAATACCTAGCAGCTGAGGTTCACGAAAGTAGCACTTCGTAGCACGACTGGCTGACATACAACAATACAATACTATACAATAGGACAGAATACAGTACAGTATAGTATTGTAAATAGTGTTTAGTGTAGTATAGTATAACTACTCCACTGGACTAGACAATAATACAATACAATATACTAGACATATACAGTACAGTGTAACGATACTTTGGAAGGCTTCGACTAGCCTTCACTGGACTAGACTATAATACAATACGGTACTGGGCTATACAACGCTGTATTCTGTCATAGTACAATATGACATGATATGAAGTGATATGTTATGATATGCTATGATATGGTAGATGGTAGGAGTCAGCGACTCCCGTGCACGGCAACTGAAGGGACTGCATACCACCGCGAAGACTCTCAGCCAAAGGCAGCATCAACAACTTTTACAACCGCCTCGCTGCCTTCCCGATGCTGCTTTACTTTCTACTCGCCTCCGAGCCGCTTGGTCCACAACTGCGGCTCTGTCGGTAAGGGTCGAAGCTTCGGGGCTTTTCAAGCAGCGCTGATGCTGCGTTTGGACCGTGATGGCCCAGGTCCGAATCTGGAGATCTGACAAAGGGAGGGCACAAGAGATAAGTTTTGGAATCGCTTATCCACATTTCATGGTCAGGCTGGTGCACTTGCACGTGCAGCTCTCCGTCTTCAGCGTGATTTGCGCAAGCCTCTGGCGGCTTGTCACAAAGCGGGGAGTTTTGCAGGTGCTGATTGTAGAGTCACAGTGACAGACTTTGCACATGCCACACTCATGTTTCAACGCGTGCGCCTGACTCGGAATTCCAGTCAGGCAACGTGTCCTGCTTGCAGCGGGAACTGAGGTGGGAGTTCATGCTGTATCTCGCAGTTCTTGTCTTTTTTGCGGCCACCTTTGCTGCAGGAGTGTCTTGGGCTATCGGCTTTCCAGATTTGCTGGTGCAGTGAAGAACGTAGGCGAAGCTGTGAGAAATTTTTGTTACGAGCCAGGCAGCGGTCACTGAATAATTACCAGCTTCTGTCACGACTCACAACTCTTTGCTGAAGACTTGGCAAACCCTGAGACGCAGAGTGGTTGTCTTCGGAAGCAGCGCTGAACCCTACACCCACAGGTTGCGGCATCCACTGCATGCCTTGACAAACACGCTGTGTGGTTTGCGTTGGACCCTAGGACCTATGTCTTCGACCACGTTGGTCTTGTGTGCTTGATTGCTTCCTGGAGTACGCTGCTTCCGACCTCGTGTTTGTTCGTCGGTAGCCACAAGTAATTTTTAGCTGAGGTCGCTTGCTTACCTCAATCTGGTGGAGCGGAGTCTGCGCAGCTGCTTGGACTTCAACGTACCACTTTGTTGTTGTTCTCGGTAGATGCGCAGCAGCGAAGCAGCCCAAGGATGCGGGACTTTAGCAGCATGCCTGCAGCCTTCGAGTCCATGCTGCCGCTAGCTCAATGACGAGATCTTGGTTTCGGGCTTTCTTGACCGGTGTATGCCCTCTAGGACCTAATGTTTAGTTAAAGCACCCCTCCTCTACGAAGGCCGACGGTTGCGGCGTATGAAGTGCTTGACTAAGCTTCGGTCGTTGCCGGATAGGCTGCGATGGGAGTGTAAGGCTAAGCGAGACAAGACCCTATCCCTCAGTACAGACGTTGACAGGGCAGGCATCAAAGACTGGCCGATTAGCTTCCAGACCATCTCTCCCTGCGGGCACATGACAAAGGACCCACTCTCGTCGGGTCTACTGCTCACGAGTCGCACATCCAAGTGTACAGAGCCTACAACTCCTCAGGACGATACAAAGTCTGCGGGTTCGTTTCAAACAATATTGAAAGCACACTGCCATCCTCAAGTGCAAGTGCCTTAAGCTAAAGGTCCTCCACTGGTTCGTGCAATCCCGGCTAGACATGTGAGTTTCCGAAAATTAGGGTACCTCATTTTGGGGTCCCTTATAATACGGATCCGAGTGTTTAGGGTATTCTATTAGGGTCCCCCATTTTCGGAAACTCCTCCATGCCTTTTTGGCGAGGGCCATGGCTTTCAACACCTACGGCAGCGGCAACTTTGAGGAAATTGCGACCGCTGGAGAGCCGATGCTGCAGTGGTGGCTCAGCTTTCAAGTTGTGAGCAAGTCTTGAGAAGTGCTACTACTATCACTATTTCTGTTACTATTACTACTATTATTACTATTCTTCGTGAGGGTGCGAATGCAATTGGCAGATGGCAGACATGCACAGCCTGGAGCCTGTCGCTTGTCTCTGGGCCGCCTACCGAAGTCCAGGTTCGTCATGGCTTTTGCCGCCTGCTGGCATGTCTACCTGATGAATCTCGGCTGCCTGAAGGTTTACAGAGCAGTACCGATGCGTTTTGATGCTTGATTTCTGAGGAACCTCATGGTGGCCCAGCTGTGCCAGCGATATAATGATATCTTCCACAACGCCCGTGGCAATGCCCGATTGCAACGGTTCTGCAACCAGTGAAAGGTAGAATGCCTTGTCCTCTGGGGACTCACCTGTGCTTACAGCAGTTTTTATGTGTGCCTGCATACATGTGAGAGTGTGGGTTCGCACGTACAATGGGGCTCGTTGCTCACATGTCTCAGCTGGCTTGGTGTTTCTGCAAAAGGTCAATGAAGACCGCGAGATATATAGGCTGAAGTTGCGAGCTGTATCCATTGCGTTGTGGTGTCGGCTTCGCCATGTTTATGTGATGAGCTTTTCTAGCATGCTCCCATGCTTTTGACACCTCGGTCTGCGGTGGTACTCCCAGGACGCGGGGCATCATCATCTACGAAACATCCATGCCACTGATCTCCAAGAACCGCTGGGCAAGGTTCGTGGAATCCTTGCGACTGGAGGCGCGAGCCGCGTCCGGGGGCTGTAGCTGCAGTGATAGTGTCTTCGCGCAGTTCTGCTTTTGGATTGTTTGAAGATGTTGTTTTGTTCCTGGTGGGGCTGATGTCGGCGCTCATGTTTCACAGTGTGAAGAGCTGAGAAGCCGAGGCGGGACAGTGGCATCGTTGGATCTCCCCATGCGCATGTACACTGCGATCGTTTCTGTTCTGCCACACTGCATGCAATCTGTTAGCCATAAAGCCAGTACAGGTCGGCAACCCGTCTTGCAAAAAGCATTCTCAGCGATCACAACTCGTCACGCTTTGGTCTTTTGTGTCCAGGCTTCAGGCATTCTGTCGAGAGCTTTCCGGTTAAACTCTGCAACTGCGATATTCTAAGTGCAGCCTCCCACTGCACCTCTACCGCGGCTAGACCCCAAACCCTAGCGCCCTAGAGTATAGAACACCGTATGCTGCACAGGTGGCCTGCGAATTGGACGAAGGCGACAACGGACCCAGAGGTGCCGTACCCACGCTCGAGAGCCCGCGCCCGGGCATCTTCTGTCACGTTTTGTTGGGTTAGGGTTTCTGGTTCAGGGTTCAGCGTTGAGGGATTATCTAACGCTAAGCTACCGCCGACGTCGTGGATCTCCGTACCCCGCATAGCCCAACGTGATACAGCAGCTGCCATGCGAGAAGCGCTCAGGTACGAGTACTTGCAATACCCAGCTGTGGAGCTGGATCGGGTCCAACGGTATGGAGGCCTCGAAAGCTTGGAGCCTGACAAGATGGGTCAAACAGCAGAAGCATGGCGTATTGGGCTTGGCGCCATTCGTAGTACTTCCTTTTCTGAGACTCCGCGCGTCACTTCAACCTCGCTCCTTCAAGAGACAGAGAATGGAAGGAGTAAAGGAAAGAAAGCAAGCAAGAAGTCGACATGAATTATGTTTCGGTCCATGCTTCGACACGACTTGCCACCCTGCTTCACCTAGAGCTATCAGTAAAGCGTGGTCGCAGTAAGCTGTGTGGGCGAGTATCTTCACCGGAATTCTGCCAGACGCAAGCACTACCTGCGCTCGAAATCCTACTTTAACGAAGTTTCACCTGCAGCTATAGATCTCCTGTAATGATCTTGATCATCGGGCTGTCAGACCTTGAAGACGTGCCCGTCCTGCAACACCTCGTCATGGTAGAGGGTCCAAGCACGTTTGGGCACAAGAGCTCGTGATCCATCCCTGAAGCGACGAGGGCTTGCAAATCCCGAGCTGCCGTGGCCGAACCTCGAGGAGGTACCTGAGAATGGCTCGGCTCGGCTGTTTTGGGAATTTGGGCTTGCGAGGTCAGGTGAAAGGAGAGCGAGTTAACTTTTGAGGTGTTCGACTGGGCCCAAGATCTAATCCACAATCTACGCTTGCTGGCTATGCATGCTATCTTACGTGCGCATGTGAGGGGTTGAAGTGCAGCGGCCAAAATGGCTTTTTCCATGGCATGCAATGTTCAGACTCTGCAAGTAAGTAGTTGCTGATGTGGCTTCGGAGTTCAAAGCAGCGCTATGGCTATGTCTACTCGGCGGCGACATAATCCCGAGATTGCAGTTGGGCTTTGCACACAGGTATTTTGGGATCTCTGTTGGGGTCCCTGAATCGAGGGAAATTACCAAATAGAGTGATGCGGGGCGCTGTTAAGTATCTTTGTGTAGGTTGCTTCAATTTCTGTTGTGTGTGCAGGGGACAGGAAATTCCGCTTCTTCACATCGCAGTGAACCCTAAACCCGAATGCAGTGGCCGCAGGCATTGGACGACAGCGCCGTCGGCCGCCTGGAAAGGCCCGGGTCTTAGAACCTGCTGGTCTGCACATCAACCCTACACCTTAAGCCCTAAACCCCCAAGCCTAAACACTAAACCCTAAACTCAAACGGGTTTAGGGCATAAGGAACCCCGAGGTACGTACGTACCTACATACTCCCCCCCGTATGTACGTACGTATGTACGTACGTACCTATTCGCGTAGCAACTATAACGTTCATGCGTACCCCCCGGGTACGTACGTACATACATACTTCCCCCTCCCCGTGCGACAATTTGTTAGATGCATATACCGATATGCACGTAGTAACATATACTAACGTACATACGGAACCCCCCCCCGGCGCGGGTACGTACGTACATATCTTACTGGTTTAGGGTATGGGCTAAACCCCCAAGCCTAAACTCTAAACCCTAAACTCAAACAGGTTTAGGGTATAGGCTAAAGCCTATAAGCCCAAGTCCGAAATTTCCAGAGAGGCTGACGAAAGCCAAGTTCGAGGAGATGGACAGGCCAGGGTCCCCCCGGAGCACTCGGTTGTTTTGGAGTCGGGGTTGAGGGGTTCTGACAAGGGCAAAAGGGCCCTGGGTCTCTAAACCCGAAGCCCGAAGTGAGGGCTTCTGGCCTAGAAGGAGGCAGAAGTAGAAGGAAACAGAGAAACTGAGGAATCAAGGCAAAAGAAGGCACAGAGGCAAGGAGTGGAGGAAAGGAAGGAGTGGAGGAAAGGCGTCAAGGAAGAGCGGAAGAAAGGGCAGCATTCTTGGGCTTAATATAAGATGTACATACTCACTCTGAGTCACGGTGCTTGCGCATTTTTGAGCTTTGACCGATACGTCGCAGCAGTGCCAGGCACGAAGAGAGCATCTGCAGCATTCGGATCGTCGGAGAGTCGGAAGCTCCGAAGCACAGAAGAAATCACAAAGCCCCGCAAGTGCTGAACATTGCCGCATGCTCACGGCATGATGTTTGCAGAATCGGGCCGGGCAAGCTGCCCATGCTTTGCCGCCGATTTCAAAGGCATTGTGCGAGCGAGATATTTGCAAACGCCAGGCTGCATGTGCTTGCCTCCCAGAACATGATGCCTATGGTATACTTGATAATTAGAGGGTTTGCATTCTAAGTAGAAGTATTGCACATTGCAAGATGCACGATCGCATTGTCTACACCACAGAACTGTGACACCAGTCGAAAGTGCAATTGCAATCCCGTATTGGCCAACCCTCGTGCAACACCGGCCAGTTGAGGAATCCGGGCTTCAGGAAACTCCCACTCGCGGTCTGGGGCATGCGACGGCACGTGCTTCCGTCCCGGAGGTCATTACAATATGTGCATCAAGAGGCTTCGGCCAAACCTAACAAAAGCTTCTGGATCCAAATCTGCCAAGGGGAATGATGCCTCTGTCCTCCTCCGCCCTGTTCTTAGCAGGCTCATGGTGGACATGGCGGTGAAGCTTGGCGTCCGCTCTGCCAGTCTTTCCGGCGGTGCCGGTGACACCACTGGCTTCTCCTCTGCCCACGGATCCACCCATCGAGACAACGGAGCGACTTGGCCGTTTAGCAACCATCGTCTCACCCCCCGGAGATTCTTCATAGCGCCAACTGTTAGCAACAGGCATAGTAGTGATCAGTCATGAGGCTATGAGTGCTGCTTGTATAATTCCAACGACAAACATGACTTGGGCATTGATTTGACATCAGCCTCTTCGGTTCTATTCGGAGGTTTCTACCAAGAATCACAGGCCCTGCAAACCATTCGCATCGAAGCGTTTCAGCGCAAACTCCTTCCACCCTCCATAGCGCGTCTCTGGATTTCAAACTTAGGGCGGCGACTCCCCTTCACGGACATTTGTTGAAATAGCAAGCAGGTGCCATGTCTCTGCATGTTGTTCCATGCTACGACTGAGGAATCCAGTCATGTGTTGGATGCCGAAGCAGGTGCTGCCAAGGAGCGTTTCAGTTCTCTGGATTGCCTCAATGTTTGCTATTTCAGCACGCCTGCATCCAGAATCTCGGTCCTTGTACGAAGAGCGAAGCCGGTTTGGGTGGGCGTTCATTCAGCGAATGCGAGAGTTCTTTCGTGTTCAAAGATGTTTGCGCAGCTACGTGATTCTGTTCTTCTTGCTCTGCTCAGAAGTGCGCGTAGTAAATAGCATTGAGGGTCAAGGGGCAGCAGGCTCTAGCAGGATTGCTTTTTGCACTGAGAAGAGCCGCTACTGTCGATACTTTTGTTTTGTCCAGGCAAATGGCATGTTACATTGCATATTCTTCGGCCCCATGACTTTCCTCAAAGAGTCTTCTTCGCAAGATGCTCGGCTCAAAATTGGCCTGGCATTAACCAAGAGGTGTCTTTCGCGGCCATGTCGAATGAAGCCGGTGCCGACCGGGACCGACTCTTTGAGATTGTCCGCGATGGCAGCTATGCTGAAGCAAAGAAGGTCCTGTCAGAGGCCGACATGTCCTGGAAACATTCGGCTCTTCGACAAAACTTTCTCTTTTTCATTGCGGCGCGACGCCGCCGAGGCTCCGAAATTCTGGCCAAGCAATGTGTCGCCATGGGCGTTAACCTGGAAGAAATAGACGTCTATGGGCAAACACCCCTTTTCTGGGCTGCTTCCAGGGGTAACATGGCGGTTGTAGATTTCCTGCTTCGGGTTGGATTCGAAGTGAACTTCCGAGACCACGCCCGGAAGACAGCTCTCTTTTTTGCCATTGAAAACCGCCACCTTGATGTGGCGGACTTCCTCATTGAACGTGCTGCATCTATCATGGTGCGGTCCAAGGAGCAGAAGACGCCGCAGTCCATGTTAAAAGCCCTGAAGCACAAAGCACCCCAGAGAAAGCGGAAGCAGGCGTCGCCAACTCCGAGTTGCGTTTGCCCGGGTGCTGCAACTCGAAGTCGTTTCGCTCAATGGGAGTGGGCCCAAGGGGAGTCGGAGCCGGTCATTGAACGAAGCGAGGACGACGTGGTGCTCGAGAATCAGCAGTATCTCAGTGGACAAGTTAGTGGGTTAGTGTGGATTTGAAACTAACAGTGACTAGCATACACCAGCCATTGCAGACATCTGTTGACTAGAACAAGCACCAGGGCAGCCAGAACAAGAACAAAACGACCACCACCACCACCACCACCACCACCACCACCACCACCACCACCACCACCACCACCACCACCACCACAACCACAACCACAACCACAACCACGACAACAACAACAACAACAACAACAACAACAAAGAAGTGCCAGCAGTAGCAGCAACAACAGCAAAGAACGACCGCAGCAACGACACCACCAACAGTAACACAATAATTAAGAAAACAACACCAAGACCAACACCACCAACTACGGTTTCATTTTCGTGAGTGTTCTGGGATCTTGAGTTACGATATGTTACAATTTCGATTGGTCTTTGAAGAGCCAAGGTATTTTGTGTGCTGGAATGCGAGAGGCTGTTCGAAGCGCCTGCGCTGTTCGGAAGTAGAGTTTGCAGGAGACCACGCGCATCTGCACCAGGATGCGACGTGGTACCGCGATCTGAACACAGAGCAAGCGGAGGCTCTCGTGAATGTGCACGCAGATGACGAAGAAGCCCGTCTTAAGGTCATTGAAGAGATGGCGACCGGAATTCGCCCGTCTGCCTTCACACTACCAGCAGTCTCACAGCAGACCCACACAGTGGCAGGATACATCCACGCATCTTTCGCAGACCAGACAATGACGATTACACACTGCAAGGTCGACCGCCCCCATCAAGGTCGGGGCTTGGGCGGTCTGCTGATCGAAGCGGCCGAGATGCGTGCTCAAAAGCTGGGAGCCGCCATTTCGAAAGTGAAGCTCACAGTCTTGGAGACCAACGAGCCGGCCAGAAAGTGCTATACCAAGTCGGGTTTCCAGGTTTGCGGCAGATCTTCATCCATCTTTCCGCCGTGCAAGTGTCCTGAGGACAGTTGCCAGTGTGATAATAAGATCAAGTGGCTGACGATGGAGAAGCGCATCGCCTGAAAGCGCGCTCTGCTAAATATGTGCCAGGGTCGTTTTTGGAGCTCCGAGGCTACGAGTCCACAGGACAGAAAGTGTGAACTTGTGTGAACGTGCGGAATTCCGCGGTCTCTGTCATGCATCGTGCTGCAACTCAAGCGTCTTCACCGTGTTTAGTGCTGTGAATGGTGGAGAAATGTCTTGCGAGTACGAGATTCGGATTTCGTGGAATGAGTCTAGTGAAACACACAGAAACACAACACAGCTACTGCAAACCCGCGCCTGCTCAGTGTCACGGTCTGGAAACCTGTCCCCTCCTGGTCAGAATTCTCGCTTCGCAGGATGCTGAGGAGGAGTTGCCCCTCGGCCAATGAGCTATTCAGGCCCATAGCTCTTCACCCTTTTTCAATACTGTAGGGCCTAGGGCACTGTGGCTTCTGTTACGCCGGCCCTGGACGGAGGGAGCTCCATAAGCCGATCCCAGGAGCGTCACGGAGCTCAACGAAGGAACCCTCAACGAGCTCCCCCAGGAGCGAGCGGGAATAGGTCCTGGGCCCTAGAGGTGTCAGGGCCCTGGAGTCCTGTGGATTTCTTGGTGAGAGGTCCGGGAGTTGAGTTTCTCCGGGTTTTGGAGGGTGTTAAGTTTGAAGGATGGCGAGCTGACCGAGGAAGGCGAGCTGTTGAATGAGACCCCCTATGGGATCAAGCAAAGCAATCAGAGCCCTTTCTCAGTGCCTTGGCACGACTCGGCTGACTGTGTGCGGAAATCCGCACTCAGCTGGTTGTAGACTTAACTGAAGCTGGTTGTAGACTAACTGATGTTTGCACGGCTTTTGCTTCTGAAGCTTTGGGGTCGACTGCACATCCGCTTGGAGAGTTTGGCTGAGTTAACCTAGATGAGCGGTGTAAACCCGAAGCTGCGTCAAGGCAGCAACGACCCGAGACTCCAAATGCTGGGCTTGCTGGATGGACGATAGGCGACAGTCAGAAAGCATAATGTGAAAGTACCATCAGGAGCACGAAAGCTTTGCATCGTAGGATATATGCCGAGCAACGAACAACGCCTCAAGGACGAGATAACAAAGGTCAAAAGCACATTTCGTGAGCCATTCATACTGATGGGAAGCAGCTGTGCAGTCAGTGTGTATGTGGGTGTGTGCTTCATCGGGGCTTCAGATGTCCTGTACTGCTCAGCGCAAGTCAGCCACGGGTCGCTGTGGAAGCAGTATACTGAGGTTCACGGGATCGACGCTTCACAATGACAGGACTAGAGGACTAGAGTCTTAGAATCCAGGTGAAAGCAGTGGTAAGTCGAAAGCCTCAGAAAAAGCTTGGGAACCTCCGGAAAGAACAACACACGTCGGCAAAGCCTTCCAGGCAAGGCACCGACAATTGCTTGATGCCTCAGAGAGACCTCAACTCAGCTGTGCCCGACTACCGCCTCCAATCCTGCTGGCACGAGCAAAGGTGCACGGCTGACGGCCCACTGGCCATGAGACTCTGAGTCGTTGGAACGAAGCAGCACAGGCTGCGAAAGCTCAACGTAGTCTGGGCGAGTACAATCATGCTGCCCACCTGTGGAAGGATGGCCTGTGTTTGAATTAAATGACTCGTGCGAGTCGCCTGCTCCGGATGCTGTGTTGCAGTTGCAACGTACCAACATGGACTAGAAGTTGCCATGGCAGATGCAGCCAGCAGGAACGAGGAGTAAGTGCTTTTGTTGAGGAACCCAGCCGCTAGACACTCACTCATAAGTCCAGCTGAAACTTCTTGGCTTTCGGGCTGTTTCCGCATTGAGACCCCAACGGAAACGTCACAAACCGCACGCAGCGCACGCTAGCAATCAAACATGCAGAATCTGTGAAACTGGTTTCGTTCATTGTCAAGTAGGAAGGGCTCAAACTTGTTGGCAACACAGCGTCTTCCCTCTTGTCGGTAGGTGAGTGCCGGAAGCGGAATCGTTGCTTTTCTAGCAGCGATTTGGAGATGTTTGAAGATTTGGCGAAAACCGCCATCAGGGCCTTTGTCCGCTTTCGCAAATCAGCGCAGTGCTGCTCAGGCAGCGGGGGGGAAATCGCTGCTCCGGTTTTTTAATTTCAGAACTTCTTCAGGCCCAGGCCTAGTTTGAAACAAGATGTAACCAACACAGGAGATGTTGGCAGAAGCATCTCTGAGCCGGCTTGATGCAACAAGATGCAAGCACACGGCGCCTTATGTGTTGGGGGTTGGGAGGTATCCCGACATCAAGCCGAGCTAGATGCGCCGGCCAGCTGGTCATGTGACCAGACTGGTAGAATATATTTAAAGCCGCTTTCACTGGCACACCCTGACAAACCCTTCGTCTGAATTTACAATCGCTGTGAAGCGACCTACGCATCGCCACCGCCGATTTTCTCTCAGAGCTCTCGGAGCTCAGTAATACTATTTTGGGAGTTCTTTGTTATAATTATAGTATAATGGGCCCCAAAACCCTATTGTAATTACTAAGCTCTAAAAGCTCACAGGCCAGGCACTGCACGAAGTGCACGCCTTGGGAGCCGCGCTTCTCCAGTCAATCTCAGAGCGTTGCAGGAGGGAGCCTGTGGGAAATTCTGGGAGGTGAAGGCATGATGCACCTAGTCTTTCCTGCATCTCTCCACAATCCGTGACTGGGGGTTTAGGTGCGAAGTCCCTATGGACCTCAGCAAGATTTACTTGCAGGCCACGGGAATTTAAGGACAACCACCTCTGCAAATGTATAGAGCTCGAAGTCGAAGGACGCCTCAGCTTTAAAGGTCAGAGTCCAGCCCTCAATGCCTAACAGAAACCTTCGGCTTTCGAGCGGAAGTCCTCATCCTTCCAGGCCAGCGGATCTGGATGGTCCGTTCGAAGAGCCTCCGAAAGGCCGAAAATGGCTCTCCCCATGTGGACTTGGACGCATGTGCACGCAGGGGGCACGGGTACAGGAGGGTAACTTTTCCGAGTACACGAATAAGGAGTGTTGCGTGATGGAGCTGGTGATCCGCAATGCGAAGTGCGCTACTTCGAGTCTGAGTCTTTTCTGGCTCGCCGAACATGCGTCCACTTCAAGCTGCCCTGCTTGTCCGAAGCTCCTAGTGTTTACTAGTTTGCTATAAGACGAATATAATGTTACGATCATATCATCATATCTCCATGTAATGTTAATATACTATCCACAACAAATCCCCTGCTGCCATTTCCAGTTCTCTGCCGACCTCAAAGAGGTACTTGGCCTTTACGGAGGCTGTTCTTCGGAAGCGCTTTGCCATCTGACGAATGGCATCCCCTTGGGACACGTCCATTCGTAAGGCTGTTTAGGGAAAGTCTTATTCAAATCAGACTCAATCACCAACCCAGCACCCTTTTCCCGTTGTCCTGGTCTTGCTCGCTCTCTTGCTATTCTGCCCGTCGCCATGGAAGAAGCTAGCACACTGCTGTCCACGATCGAGCCTCGGCTTAGCCGCAGGTTGGCCTGACTACTTTAATTGAAAATTGTGGTGCGCTAATTTCATCATAAATCCAGGTATAGGAATATAGTACAATGTTAGAAATACTAACAGGGACAAGCTACAAGGCGAATCTTTGATTGAAGTTGTATATACGAGGTGCAGGATATCTATCCATCGCCCAGCATGTCTCAACCGTTTAGGCCTGAACGCAAAACAAAAGCTCGTTGCTTGAAGAGTACCATCCGCCTTTGTACTCTGAGAGCCTTTCAGGGAGGTTGCAAGCTCGGCTTCTTAGGACCTTGATGATTACACCATCAAGGAAGTCCAGAATGGCTGGGAGACGACTGCCACTTTGCATGGCTTACGGAACTCGGTGTCCTCCGGAGCTCTCAGTGTAAGGCTTCGGATGAATATCAAGAAACTCTCGTGATGAGACTGAAACGAAGCGCCGTAGGGGGTTCTCCGAACGATACAACAACGAGATCTGAAGACACTCTGCGCAAGGCTAATCCGGGGTACGAGTTCCCATGGCTCAAAGCCTTCTCTGTCAGCTGGAGAAGAGGCTCCCCGGTCCCCAAGCAAACTTGAGTGTCTTAAGGAGAAGCGGCTCGGAGGGCCCAAGATGGCGGGCGAGGAGGTCTTCGGCAAACTGAAGGCCGAGTTGCCCAGAACCGGGGGCATGCTGATGCTGGGCACAGAATGGTCTTTTGGTGAACAGCATATTTAAAACATGCCTCTCCGAGATTTCCAGCTCCAGAACTGACCAAGGAAGCGATCTAGCACGGTATGGCACCTGCTGAACGAGCAGCTTGGTGACTGGCGGGGTTTATGTGGCACTTCTGGTGATTTTCAAGTTTGTTTACATAGAGTGGATGTACATGGAGTCCTGCGTTTCTGTCTGCGACGTGCTTGTTGAGATTCTGCACTGGCACCCACATGATAGGATGTTGTCCAGGGAGTATCTTGAGCGTGGCTCGACGCAGTTCCATGATTGCCACCGCGTTGCAGTATGGGCTGTCCGACGACGCACATCAGCCGAATAGCCGAAACCCCTAAACCCTTAAACCCCTGAACCCTATCACACCTCCGATAGCAGCACGGATGGTCATCCGAGGTTGCTGCAATCCTTGAGCGACCCCAAGGTGGTCCAAAAGAAGTTGGAGTACATCGCCCTGCCCCGTGGGCTTTAAAGTTTAGGGTTCAGGGTTTAGAGGTTTAGGGTTTGTCGGTTTGAAGGCTGAGGACTACCGGTGAGGTGGCTGGAGTCTTGAGTCTAGAGTCTTAAAGGTCAGGGCAGATGTCGATGAAAGTGGTCTGTTGGTAAAGATGCATGCATAGCTGTTGTTGCATCTGTTTTTCATAGTGTCGGTCTTGATACAATTGGAGGGTTCATGAACTGGTTGTGGACCCTTTGGAAAACCAACACTTCGCCACTGCTTCAACTTATCAATTATCGTCCATCCTGTTGCGTTGGGCTCGGAGTTGCGACTTCGGATAGCACATAGTGCGGTCAATAAGGACAGCCATAAGGATGACAACAATCAGCATACAATAATCATCAAAACACTAACAGTTGCCGCAGAACTCAATAGGTCGCAGTGATGATAGTTGGCAGACCCAATTGCTTCAACATGTTTTCCGGCTGGCTTCAGAGCTTCCAGGTCGTTCCTGTTGTTCCAAAACAGGCCAGCGCTGCCCAAGTCCAAACACAGTGCTAGCGACGCTAGGCAGCTAAAGGTTCGCCGCTCCAAAAGATCCGATCATCTACCCGAATTTGCGTTACCTCACTGGTATCACTGAGATGGGAAGATCCGCTGAGGCGCCATATGAATGCAGACATCACTACAGCTGATGTGGAGGTTCACGCTGGAAGTGGCGACTGCAGCCTTCGATTCAGTTCTGCATCGGCTTTAAGTTTTGGGGTCTATGTTGCATTGCAAGCTTCCATGGGGGATGGGTCGTGATGTTTAGTCATTCTGCTTGAGACGAACCCTTGCTGCAAGCGAGAAGAGAAGCGTTTGAGGTCTGAAGCCCTAACAGGTGTTCAAAGGCATCCTCCTCGAAGTGTGTGCCTCGAAGTTGGGAGGGCTCATGACCCCTGAGTTTCAGCTGCTGGGCGTCTTTAGCAGCCGGGTTAGGCTTTCCGGATTGGCTGGTTGGACGATGGGGGAAGCGATGTCCGACGTAGTATTGCATTTGCCCATGGCGTCCAGAGCCGCCTTTAGATGTGACATGTGTTCGCATCTTTACCCTCAGACGCGAAGGTTCGGCCTTGGCCAGATCATCGTTGCAGTGGGTACGTCGCTGGCGAAAACACACGAGTTCCTGGGCACGTAGAAGCCATGATGAGGCCGTTCGTCTCCCTAAGCGATGTGACACGTGGCCGTCAGAGCCACTTCTCCTCGAAATCTCTGACTGAAGCCCCCAAACCCTAAACCATCCCTAAACCCCTAAACCAGAGGCATTATGCGCAGCGCCTGAAGCTTCTGACAGGCTGCTGGAAGGAGGCCCGGCCTGCCTGAAACAGCAGATCCCGAATGCCAGAGGTACAGATGTCCCAAAGGTGGAAGGTTGATATGATGATTCAAACAATATTTTGCATAGCAGAGATCGATGTGTGGGGCTTCTGAAGAAATGCGGCAACACCGACTGGAGATTACCATATGTTTTCACTGAATGTGGAGGTAGCGACAATGCATTTTATCGTCTAGAGATTCCGGCGATGTCGAAACAGGTAAACGTCACTGAGGACGATGAGGCCCGGTATTGAGTTGTGACTTGTGCTTCAGCGGCCATGCCGCTGCAAGGATCGTCTGTGTGAATATTCAGACTCAAGCACACCCAGGCTGAGGTTAGCTAGAATAGCTCCTTTGGTCCAGCAGCGGTTGCTTGGGAGGGCCGGCAGGCTGGTAGACGAATCTTTTCAGCAAAGCCGCAGTTTGTGTCCGGTCGGCTCAGGACTTCTTTTGATTCGTTCACCATCCAGCACCCCGCCGTTCAACTCCCCGGTCGCATCACCCACCTCGGTCCGTCAGTCCAGCATTCCCAACTGTAAGCAAGAAGTCTTTGCTGCATCCAGCGCCAGGCCGATGGGAACGCAGAGGATTACTTGCAGACACTCTGTAGACAGGTGTTGTTGGCCTTCCAATTCATTCCTGGATCGGGTGCATGCGATCGGTTGTAGACGTCAGCTGGTTTGTAAGAGGGCGACTTGAAGTTGTCATGATGGTAGCTCGACCGGGTACAGTGTTTTTGCCACCTGAAATTGTCAGAAACCCTAAGCCCCTAAGCCCTAAACTCTAAACCTTGTGAGGAGCAGCACGAGCACGCCGAAGGCCACGGAGAAGGCCACGAGGACCATCGGGGAACTTGCGCGAAGACAGGAGAGTGCCCTAAGGGTAGGCTCGAACGAGAACAGAAGGTGCTCACGATTCCAGGATGCAGGAAGCGGGGTAGGACAGAAAGTATTCGTATATCAGAGGAGGCAGGGGCATCGTTAAGGCCGTCGCCTCTCCCACTCGCAAGCAGTTTTCGGTATCTACCACATATCAAGGCAGGCAAAAGTTCGCCATCATCAGTCAGATTACCCAGGCAGGGCCCGAACAGGGCCACCGGGCCATTGCAAAAGCCCAGTCTGACAACTTTTGATCCCCGACTGCCGCACCCAAGTCTAGCCGCGACGCGGTCACAAAGTTTAGCACACAAACCAGGCCGACCACAAATCGCTGTGCGAAATCCGTATGCTGCCCAATGCACAGGACGCGCAGCAAGACCAATCAGATGCTGCTTTAAACAACATGGAGAAGGGCGAGAATGCGCCTCCTCTTGCCTGTGGCAGGTTTCAGACTTCAGGTTTATGCTTTATGCCTTTCGCAGAGACTGCGCTCCAGATGCGTGTGACACTACAGATCGAATAGCTGGTACTGTAGTCGCTACGCAGTACTCGTAGGTGCAGTTTGAGCTGTAAATTTCAAGCTTTTTGTCCTGACAACAGTGCACAGAGGATGCCCATGGGCAGTGGAGAAAGGATGACAACATGAACATTCCGAAGACCTTTGCAGCCATGGCACGTTCCTCGGAGATACGGAGAGCTAGGAAAACTCTCATTGGTAGGGTTCCGCAGTGGAGGTCCCAGATGGGCTTTGGATTTTTCTGTCTCCTCGGGCAGGGTCTGGATGCCCCAAGATCCTCGTCACGAAGGGGCAACAGCAAATTCCCAAGCCCTCCGCCCGCTCGCAATAGTGAAACAACACCCGGAAAGCAGCAGCAGCAGCAGCAGCAGCAGCAGCAGCAGCAGCAGCAGCAGCCGCAGCAGCCGCAGCAGCCGCAGCAGCCGCAGCAGCCGCAGCAGCAGCAGCAGCAGCAGCAGCAGCAGCAGCAGCAACAACCGAAGAAAGCCGCAAAGCAACTGCAAGAAAGACAGCATCACGCAAGAGCAAAAGACAAACTTCCACCATGCCCAGCGGCAGCAGCAACAAAAAACGCAGACCTCCCGACGCCATAAAGGAAACAGCCACGGACACGACATTCGCTTTGGATCGTCTTCCAATTAGAAATTTAGAAACCTGTCACGTCTCTGCAATGAGGCAATGTGGACGCATGCATCTGAGGTTTCAATGCTGCCGTCATGGGTACAGGCGACCGACTCGTGCCAGCATACGGCGGATCTTCCTTGTACTGGACTCGGGTGTTTGAGCTGTTCAGATGCCAGCTCGAAATTTCCAGGTACCATACATGAAACAATGAGACCTAAAAAGAATAGTGTTGCGAACAGTGGAATAGTGTTGCGAATCATGTCCCTGAATTCCCAGGTATGTGGTTTGCCGACCTCCTGTACTCCATGGAGTCACTGGTACCCCACATTGGCAACATCGACCGAGTCCAGGATCTTAGGATCATGTTTCTGCGCTACTAGAGAGGGGGCTGTGGTGTTTCGGGGGCGTTGAAACAGCCAATGCTGAGGATCTGTCAGAAGTTGTTGCGTTCACAGTATCGTGCTGCAGTTGTAGCGATGAAAAGTCCCCTTGCTCTCGCAGGAAGAATGCGACGTTCTCACTCTGACGCTGGCAAAGTACGAGAAGGTGGGACCTCGAGACTGTTTTTGGGTCATCATGCGCCCAGTGCCCCCAGAGTCAGACATCGGAGGCATTCTTTTGAGGAAAAATTCTGCAAGAATAAGCTTCAACTACCGAAGCGCGCCATGACCGCCCGCTGAGCCCACCGCCGGGCAGGTAAACCTGAAGGAGTTTCGCTCCGTGATGTTCGCCAGCCTGAGGCGGGCTCAAGTCAACTGCATGGAAAACATTGGTCGAAGCTTCGCGGTTGCGCAAATCTTTCGCTGTGGGATTGCCTTCGAAAGGTAAAGGGTCCTAGGTCGTGTCTTCTTCAAGGCTCTAGTCCCAGAGCTTGTACCTTCGCCGTGTACTCTCCTGCAGTGTAATATGCACTAGAACGTATGATTCCGTACTCCAACATGTACTGACTACAATGTACCATATTACTATGGTATACTCTGGTGTGGCGCGTAATGTATGCCTTTCACTCGAACCACACCAATTATCCGGGCCCCCTGGAGGTCGCTTCTGCCTTCCAGTTGGAGCCTGGAGCATGAGAACGCCTGGTCTTGGTTCTGGAGCATTGTGGAGAAGCAGGCAGAAACCATAGCCGGTTTCGGTTTTGGGGGGTTGATAGGTTTAGGGTATGATGGGATAGCAAGATGCTGTGGTGGGGCACGGAAACTGGTGAGCCCCAATGCTCAAAGGAAGAGCAGTTGAAGCCTTCTCCCTTTTCTGGTAGACCGGGATGTACCTGGATTCCCAGCTGTTGGTTGTGTGAGGTCGAGGAGAAAAGGGCGATCGCATCACACCACAATCAGTGTTTGAATCTTGGAGGAGTTCGATGATGAGGGGATCTTGGTTGGTGCTTTGGAGGAGTTGCAAGCTTGACGGGAAGCCGAGATGGGGGTTCTCAATCATCTGAGGCGATCTTGAGGGCATCATGAATCCTAAACCCTTTGCCCTAAACCCTAGACCCTAACCCTTGATCCGCGAAGCCTAAACCCTAAAGTGGTGAAGCTGAAGTCGCCCGCCGATCTCAGGAAGTCGTTTCTTGCACGCATGGACGAGGCGGGGCACCCTTAGGTTTTCAGAGCTCAGCCCGATTGGCTTCCCGTCTGCGAGGTTATTATATCTCGGATCCTCAATGTCACCGAAGTGGGAGTTTCCGAAAATAGGGTACGTACCCTAATATAGTACCCTAAGTTTGTAGGCTTCCTTATCATAGTCAAAGGCTCCAGAGTCAGTCTGAGACATGCTCCGAAGATCCCAGAGGAAGCCGTGAGATATCGTGAGCTTTGGGGTTGCGGGATGCATTGGAGCCTTCCGCCCAGACATGTCTCCCCTGGACAGTGGAGGAAGCTACCGACACCTTCAAGCTCAAGGTCTTCGACACCTTCTTCGCAAACTGCGAGGCTCACGTCAGGTTGAGGTGCTCTTGTCGAAGCAACGTCCGTAGGACATGCATAAGAAGCAGCGCTTTGCGGCACGTCGTTCCAGTAGTTCAGAGTTGCCTCCAAGTGGTAACATAACATACCGGAGCTTGCTACAGCATGTTACAGAACTGTACAATATCGTCCATTTCTATGGTCTGCTCTAGAACAGTATAGTATATCGTCTACTGTACCGTCTACTGCAGTGGCTTTTATGCACTATAGCGCAAACTATCACACACTCTTGTACCTTATTATCATGTTGGGATATGTCGCAGCCGCAGGAGTCGCAGCTGTACCTGCGCGCGGCGAACAAGCGCTTGATGTACATCATGGGACGGTGCCTCATACGACGATTCGTTGAGGGATTTCGGGTGCAGGCTTTGGGATATTTTGCTTGGGGTTGAGGTTTTATGGTGCAGGCTTTAAGATAATTCGTCGGGAGTTATGGTTTAGGGTTCCGGTTTTTGGATGATTCGTTGGGATTAATGGTATTGGATGATTCGCCGGGGTTAAGGGTTTAGGCCTTATCCTAATTTGTTTTAGGGTTCAGGCTTGAGGATAACTCGTTGGAAGGTACCTTTCGCGTGTTTTTGCAATTAGAGCGACCGGGGCAAGAAGGTCTTGTTGTCTTGCCGGGGATCAATCCGGACATGCTAGTTCATCCTGGCGCTGTCTCGATGCAGATCATGAAGAATCCTCCCAATCTCAAAGCTCTTCAACCCAGAATGCGGAGTCAGGATTTTGACGATCATGGGGGACATCTACAGCAAGACCCACCAGGCAAGGGCGACAGGGTTGCACGACGTCAGTGGCCTGCCCAGACTTGAGAGGTTTTCCTTGTGCAGAGGCAATTATTGAGCGGGTGCGGAAGGAGTCAGATTGAGTGCAGTGCATGTCATGCTCTGAGCACGATGCTACTTTCCAGATTCCTTACACAGGGCTTGAATTCTGGAGCGTGCTTGCAAGGCTTGCTGGTTGCTGACCGATCACCGAGCTAGTCGGTGGACACGAAAGCCCTAAACCCTAAACCCAACAGCTGGAACTCTCGTGAGGCGGTCATCGCGCTGTCCGGCTTGGGTCTGCTTCACGCGGGTCATGGGGTCCCTGAGGAGCCTTTCCTTTTCGCAGCTTCAAGGGCTTACTGAATTCATTGGGCCGTAACAAGACGCCCAAGGTTACAAGCCCCTTTACAAACCCTGCATCGCATTCCCCTCTCTGCACTGGTAACCCTAAAGCCAAAATTCATCGCCCGCATCCTCAACATCGAAGTCTCCCTCAGGCTGTTGGTTACGCTTGTAGTTTGTGCGAGTAGTGTTGAGCAACGGATTGAACTCAAAGTTTGCAGGCATCGACGAGGGTATCGTATATCCTTCTTATGACGGTCGGCCGGGGCCGGCATCTTATCTAGAGGAGAGAATGGTCAGTTTCCGATCGATGCATTGAATCCAAGGGTTTGGTTTTCAGCAGTTTCGTGTAATATGGAGTTCAACTACATACCGTGGCTAATTACTCAGTCGTGGTAGGGCTGAAGAGATTATGTTAATGTGTTTCAGGGTTTGTGAGCACACGACGCTGAGAGAACACTTGCCCTGCCCAAAACATCAACTCCTGCTACGTAGAACTAGCATTGAAAGATCTCGAGCCGGACTGGACTGGCGAAGCCAAGAGAGATTTCCTCCTGTTAAGCTTTTCCGAAGGACTTGGTGCGGCCTTTTGTCGCGGCGTTTATGCCATTCGGCTTGAATTGCCGTGGCACAAGTCGGTGGAGTCTCTCCGAGCCTGTTCTACTGGGTTACCGGTCGGGTGCGATATTGTGAAGCGGCCAGAGACTAGCCACAGCCAACAGCAAAACCCAGTGCCAGCTCCGCAACAGCAGCTCGGCATGGGGGTACCCTGCATAATGAGCGATCTTCTTCCCCAAGCGTTAAGCCTTAGGAAACAGAAGTGCTGCGCAAACGGTGCCCCGGCTAGATGTCAAGCGAACCACTTTGTGTGGACCAGTAAACCCGAACCCTAAACCCAAATCCTAAACCGTAAGCCCCAAACCCTATGACTCTCAACGTCGGGCATTAAGTCCCGACTTACCTTCGACAGGAGTGGTATGCACAATAAAAATATAAACTTGATTCATTTTCTCAATGTGCTATGATGTGTTAAAGCTAATAATAGGCTGTAACAGACTGTACTAGACCATAGTGGATTATAATAGATGATAGTAGACCAAAGAAGTTCTGTTGCATATTTCAGTATACTATCACATACTACACCATGTATATGTATATTCACACACATATATATATATATATATATATTCACACACACACACATATATATATATATATATATTCATACATATACACACATGATATGTATATCCATGTCAATTCGCCGTAGTGTACTAGATGAGCAGATAAGTTGCGTGGTCTACACTGAGGCTTTGCATCAAGGAAGCCTGTCCAGATGAGTCTCTCTACGATGGGCTTTGGTGGACTCTGGACCTGATCGGCAGGACATATTGCCATAAACTTCCCATAATTTTGCCGGAACATACTCTGATGTGCTACACTGTGCTGTAATATGCTATCTTATGCTCGAATGCACGATCACGTACTAGAATATACTGTATACTGTAATAGACTAGTAGCTTGCGATTAAAACGTTCTGGTTTTAGTAATGCAAGCAGTGGCATGCTTGCAGAGCAGGATTTTTATCCGGACCCTGGCAGAGGGGTCTACACCGGTGATTATTGCGATCAACAAGAACACCTCCAAGGACGGAGCACTGCTGCCTGTTGTTTCGAGCACCAGTATCGTCACGACGACGACTTCTTAAGGTAGGTCGGAGAAGTGCCGCCTTTGAAGTTGAGGGATGCCATCCTGCACCCCGTCTTTCCCCCTCTCCGTTGCAGCAAGAGCGCTCGAGTCTTCAACCTTCCGTGCACAACCGGCAGTAGGCTAGTGTCTTCTCTATAGCTGTCATCCTTTTGTTATCTGCATGCGAACACCCGAAGAGCACGCAGGAACTGAAGGCTGCCGTGGCAAATGCACCTCGCGGGGAGCGCGAAGTGATCTTGCTCAAGGTCCAGGCTCCTATGATGCAAGCATCCTCTAGCCCTTCACTTCAACACGAGGCAAAGATGCTCAATGTTGCCATACGTTGTCACAAGTCTCGTCAAGCCGCTGCGAGTCACACCCAGACGCATCGAACGCCCTTGTGCCGGAGTCCGTGCCAGTTGCCCTTGTGACCTGAGGTCGGCAACGAGTCTATGTCGCCACTGATTTGGGCAATTGAGAAGGTGGGTTTCCGATATTGAGGTCACTTGCTGAGCACCACGAGCCCATTCCCCTAAATCCTGTCAGGGTGCTTTGGAGTCCGCTGGGGCGATCCTCAAGGACCGAACTCATCTGGGAGTACGGGGTTCTTTCGGGTGGGGTTTTGCAGCTGGATCGGACACGCCAGCATGCTACCGGTGGCCACAAAAAACGGCTAGAATGGCTAGAAACCGCCGAATCACACTCTGCATCAGGACTTGCTCACTATGCGTGCAGACCGAGGACGCTACTACTATGGCATGGCCACTTGGACTTGAGAGACTGAAGTTGCGCAGAAGCGATAGGTTCCTTCTTCGTCGCGGAGGTTTGCTCACATGTTTGTTCTCCGGGGAGCATTTGACAGACTGGCAATATTGAGCACTTTGGAGGTTCTTGATCCTTCCACCCTTTTGATATCATCGACCCCTGTCTGAGGAGGCGATTTGGGTCCGCCATCCGGACTCTTGGAGCAGAGATGTACGGAATGGCGGCAGAACTTGGGGTAAGCACCGAGAATTTGCATGGGCTATGTTGTTGATCTCCTATTGTTTTCCAGTCCGAATCTGGGGATGCAACTTTTTCCGGAATTGAGGCGTCTCCGAGTGCTGTTTAATGATGATCCGAAATGGCCGGTGTTCGAGGACGATTGAACCTGAAGCACCTAAGGACATCATCACCCTGCTGTGCACCAAGGCACCATGGCGTAGTCGTTGTTTATGAAAGGGGCCTTAACTAATCTGTCGGAAAGGCACGCCATGCCACGCCCAGCTCGTGACAGAGACCAAGAAGGGGCATGACACCACGGCTCAGGGTTTGGTCTCCGCAGGCACCGTCTCTGCTCGCAACGCTGTTGGATGGCCTGATCTGGCGTTCGAAGAACGTGAAGGAAGGCCAGCACGCGGTTTCATTTCCCCCTCGAAGCTGAAGCCCGAGCCTCAACAGCTCCCATGTCTTTGGGCTGCTTTGAATTGGGCGTGTCAAGGAAAGCCTTGGGAAGCTTGAAAAGGCTTCCGATCATAGAAGGTATATACGCTTCAGGGGCTGCCATCATCCCTGCCCCAGTGCAGGGAGGTGCCGCCAATCTTGGGTGAGGTTTTGCTTGCTGTCAGGCCTGCGCCGTGTGAACTACTATATCAGCTCCATGCTCGTTAGCGATGAGGGCCTGCTTACCAACTCGCTGCTGGACCTGCTCCTGTGCTCGAAGCAAAGCTACAGGGCTGTTCCGGTTCAGAGAGGCGACCGGTGATGTGCTGAAGGCCACACTAGAGAAGTCGTTCACTTGACCACGGCACCCGCCATTTGGGGCTTTCATGTCAAGGAGGCAACAAGCTTTGCCTCTAAGGATCAAGCACGGCGACCCAGAAGTCGTGTGCCACCCTTCCGCCATCTTCCAGGTTTCCCTTGAAAATTCTGACCGGGGACTGCCAACAGCTACCATTCGCACGCTCCTGCGCGTGCACCCATGAAGATGGAGGGACACGGTTTGAGGTGTTTCGGTGTTATCTGTCACTGTCTCCAGCTGGATGCATTCCTCCTTGTGTCAATAGCAGACAGATGGGTTGAATCTCGCACAGAGTGTCATCTCGAATCCGGATACTCGCCGCCAGGCCGACTTGCTGTGGGTGCGGCTTTGTTGTTTGCCGTGGGCTCTCACGAAGCTGTGGTTTTGCGCCTGTCCCTCAGTGGGACGAGAGACTGCATGTGGTGTTAGATGCCGTCTGTGCATTGGATATATTCAGACGCTGGAGGCTAGCGTTTTAGGTCTTTGACAGGTGTGTCAATCTGCTATAATGAAATGGCTGAAGAGCCAAAGTGCATGAACATCGCTGCTTGTAGTGTTTCTGACGGAGGTGTGCGAAACGATATCTTGCACGTTGCGAATATGTCACAGGGGAGTAGTGTCTTGTAGCCATAGCGCAGGTTGCAGTCTTGGCAGGTGACCCTTGTCGTGTTCTGCCTGGCCGAGCAGTATGGCATCGTGACGACTGATGTTCACAGTGACGAGCGATTCACTGTGATTGCATGCCGGGCGTTCCTGCCTCCGGACTGCAGAATAGTCGACGGTGCTCACGACTCATATGACATGTGATGCCATCGAGCGCTAGACTTCGACCACAAACAATCTTTGCATCTCATGTTAATCACTTCACCTCTGCAAAAGTTGTCACAGATGCAACTCCGTTTCTGGGGCATCTTCAGGCTTTGCAGACCTGCAACAGGGCAAACTGCACAATGACCCCTGGATCAGTGATGCACCTGCGGGTAGCATCATCATCTGCTTTGCCCTCGGTTTCGCCGTGAAGTCAACTTCATAAGCCTGAACCCTGCAGTCTCTGTCTCTGTCAAGGTACTTGTTTAGCCTCGGCCAACTCTTTGCCAAGCACGCCGTTCAGACCTACCGGGCTGTTCGCCGCAGGTGGGCTCGGCTGATCTAGCGTGGCTCCCACGCTCCGGCTTTGAAGGGGTTTGTCAGATTTCCAAACCTTTGAGCCTGCACCCGGGGATGCTTGAGCACTAGAAGTTGAGTTTCTTGGCGTGACGTCTGAAAGTGTGGAAGCAGCAGGCCCTCATTCGATGTGCATCAGATCAGGCTGTTTCTGGAGTTTAGAGTCCCAAACTCAGACTAAGACTCAGTCTGGGCGGGCGGATAAGTGCTGATTGTTCCCGCAAGCGCTGTATTTCATCGGCCAGGCAGATGAGACGGCTCATGTGGTGCGTGCATGTACCGGCTTACCTACTACAGCCGCTCAACTTCCAGCCGATTTCAGTTCTTGGGTTTCAAGGTTCTTCGATCTTATGCATATCCTGGGAACATGGGCCCGGGTCGTAGCTGCGGCTGTTCCTGCCGTGGGAAGTTAATCCTACACGACCTTGCTGGTAGAGGATTTGTAAAGTGGTGGCGGCAGGAAGAAGTGAAGAAGTGAAGTGGCATGTTAAGACTACAAGGCCCTGAACGCACCAGTTGCCGGAAAGAGTGAAGCCCTTGCGCGGGACTGCGTTTGATCCCAGGACACGCCAGGAGATGATCGAAGCCATTCTGATTCTCCTTCTCCTTTGCAGCCTGGGCATGATCTTGGAAGGTTTGATAGCTGCAGCAGTGAATAATGAGGGCGGTTGCGCTGACTTGTGAGTCCAACGACCTCTTGGTTCAGCTGGCTGGGGATCTGAGTTCTTGTGTGCGCATGTGTACATGTATACAGTATACACGCATACATAAGAGACTGTGTGTGTATATATATATATATATATACAGTACTTTTTTGGTATGCCAGGAGGTACCATGAGATAGAATGTTACAACACAAGAACGGGAACGAGAATAAGCGATGATATTCCATAGTACGATGTATTATTATGGTAGGTTAACGATATGAGCACATGATATCACACGCGCATGGCTATATGTGTATCTGTATGTACTTGTGGTTCTGAGCGTCTGTGGGCCTGTCTCTGTTTGAATGCGCATGTGTCTCGACATGTTCGGCCGGCGCCTGCAACCGTATGACTTCGTTCTGCACAGGGTGGGCACTTCACGTGAAACCAGACCTGGACCTAGAGGGTATCCGACTTGCTTGCGCAAATTGAAACTGCGAATCCTGCTGCAAATGCTGCCTTACATTGTCCCGATGCACGCGTCTGTTCCTGCGGAGTGTCCAGCCCAAAAGACACTGTGCCCACCACTAAGACTGCTTTAGTCATACAAGTGAGTCACTCAATGCGCAAGGTATGCTCTGCTGCGAGCCTGTGCTTCACTGCCTTTCTGTCAGTGGCTTGGCAAGCAATCGGGTCTTTTGCAAACCGCACTCGGGCTGAAACTGAGGGTGTGACTCCGCAATCGTAAACACGGACCCCTGGTCGAGCCTAGGGCATAAATCGGAACGGACCGAGTATGGTTGTGACCACAGGTGCTAATGTTCGCTTCAGCGATCGGCTTGAGGACGGACAGTGTGAGCGCTTGCTGAAGGTCATTTCGCATCCTGTTCAGCCAGTGTTAATTCGTTTCGAGGGCATGCTTGCACAGGTAGCGATTGGCTTACGGATTGCTGTGAATATGGCGAATGGTACTGCGCCTCAGTGGCAGTGATTACCGCGTTTCTGCGGTGTATTTTCCGAGAGTTGTGAAGTGATACTGGGACTCGAGGGGATGCCGTCACTAGTCGTGGCTCTTACCGACGGCAATGCAGGTCTGGGTGTGTCTGGTTTCATAAGGTAGGCCTTCCGGCTCTTGGCCCATCCCCAGTCTCCAATAAACACACGGAAACGGTGTAGTACTATAGTAATGCTGCCACAGTATTCCGAAGAGCGTTCCTAGGAGGCTCAGGACGTCGGCGAATTGTTAGGCAGCATGTCGCGGCCCAGACCGAGAGAACATGCCTCGGGTAAGCGAACGGGGTGCAACCTCCACCTTCAAGAGAACTCAATGAAATCAGGGGCCTTAACAAGTAGAATAGGGTTTGGGGGTATATTACACTATACTAAGAGAGCTTAGAGGCACAGAGCAAGCATTCGAGGCGCTCTGACGCACTCCTACAACCGACTCGCTGCTTTCCCGATGCTCCTCTACTTCGTGCTCGCCTCGGAGCCGCTTGGACATCCTTTCTCCCGGGAAGCACAGGAAGTGTGGACACAGGGGCCTAAATATTACCTGTACTACTTTGGGGGTAGTATCATGCGCCCCAAGACCCCATTCTAATTATTAAACCTCTATATTACTGCATTGGTTCATTGTGTTGCATCCTGGGCTCTGGCCAGGGGTGTACTCTCCCTGCTAGGTCTAGATTCTAGATTCTGGACCGGACTGGACGATAGATTGGAAGGACATGATCATGCGGTAAACCGGGCCTTATCAAATGCCAAGGTTGGTGCACCTGAACGTGCAGCTCTCGGTATTCAGTGTGATCTGTGCCAGCCTCGTGCGGCTCAGGAAGCAATGGGACGGGATTCATGATTGCAGAATCGTGCGCCGATAAGCGCGATGTCACATGCCAGCTTTGCCATTAGTTTTTCTGACAACCCTTGTACCGCTGGAGCACTTCATCGCCAGATACTTCTAGTTCTAGGCTTTCATTTTGCACGGCCACCAAGGTGGGAGTTCCTTCTGTATGTGGCGGTTCTGATCTTTTTCACAGCAGCTTTCGCTTCGGCTGTGGCTCGGTGAATTCTGGCATCGTCAATTGGGCAGAGATGTTCATGGTCTTCCGAAGCCCGCGTTGCATAGCATTGTGCATTGTAGCAGGCTATACTAGACGCCCTGACCTCGGACCAGAGTCAAGAACCTACATTTCTCACAATCGGACAGTATCATTTTGGCCAATCATTGTGGACTCAGCCCACCCGAGACAATGACAACATCCACCACAGATCGGAAGAAGCACCGCCCAAGAGCAGGTGGCTTGCTTGCCCCAGTCCTTGGGCACGAACTCCATACAGTTGCTTCGGCTGTACTTGAGGCTTGCATGCTTTAGGCCGGCAACAGCTCTGGTGGAGGACCGATGTAGTCCGCGTAAAACTGCCCCCCCCCCGCTTCTGTGACTCCAAGGCTGCGAGACTTCTTCGGTTGGCCTTTGGCTTTCGAGTCGATGTTGCCGCTGGGTGCTGGATATGTTAAGTCTTCAGGGGTCTTAGCTCAGGCGACGTGGGAATCGTAGCATCGCAGAGCGTAAAGGCAGAGGCTCGAGAGTAGCCTTCATTGCTTGGTGGTCAGGACAGCCTGGGTTTAGGTTGTTGGGATGAAAGGGAATCAAGGTTTGGGGGCATTCGCGGGGAAGCGACAACATGAGCAACGGAAGACCAGCAACATCCTAATTGCTGACTGACTGCAATGATTGCAAACACCGAAATCTTGTACAACGCGCCGTAGCCATTTTTGCAATTTTGGCTCCAGTCAGACTTTAGGCCTCCTGTCTCCTGCCTCAATCTCGTGGATCGATGGCAAGTTGCTGCCCCCCAGATTCCTGGCCAGCTTGCCAGAAGCCCGATGATTACAAGCCCAAGGGCACAGAGACAAAGATAGGCGAGCTGCCAGTATACAGCGTGGGCACCGGAGACAAGGCCATCTTGGTACTGCCCGACATCTTCGGCTGGTCGTCCAACCAAGGTAGGCTCATGGGCATCGCAGACACCCTGGCCGATCAGGGGTACAGAGTGCTGCTTTCAGACCCCTTCTACGGAGACTCTGCCGTGGGGAAGGAGGACATCATGGGCTGGGTTACACAGTTTCCTTTTGACAAGAACATTGGTGCGGACATCGAGGCATGCGTAAAGCACCTGCAAGATCAGGGCTGCAGCAGTGTGGGTGCAGTTGGCTTTTGCTGGGGCGTCTGGGCATTTTGCAAGTCTGCCTCCATGGGTGTGCCCCTGAAGTGTGGCGTCGGACCTCATCCCAGCACACGGCTGGAAGGGGCATTCGGCGGAGATGAACAGGCCATGATGGACAAGGTCAACATGCCAGTCCTCCTCATGCCAGCTGGCAACGACCCTGAGAACCTCAAGGAGGGGGGTGCGATCGCCAAGTCCCTGGCAAAGAAGGGTGGAAAGTCCGTGACATTCCCGGACATGCAGCACGGCTGGTGCTGCCGTGGCGACCTCGGTCAAGCAGAGGTGAAGCGTGATGTGGAGGCAGCGATGGAGCACATGGTAGACTTTTTCAAGTCCAACCTCTGAGCCGTCGGCTTGATCTGCGTAGTATGGATCATGGACTCGTTGGACTCTTTACTTTTGGTCTATTTTCACCCAGTCACAGAGCTGGAGGGATGTACAGTGTCACATGACAGTCAGATCACCTACTAATTCACTTTTTCAAGTCCAACCTCTGAGCCGTCGGCTGGATCTGCGTATCTGCGTAGTGGGATGTACAGCGCGCCACATGACAGTCAGATCACCTACTATGCCTTTCGGTTTTGAAGGAGCTTACTCTGTGGTCTGGAGTGGGCCCGTTCAGGGGAGGCAGATATTCCCAGGGTCACCGACGATCCGAGTCCCTGACCCTGTAAACTCTAGGAATCTGACACAGATCTCCGCCAGAAGCAACCTTCAACGCTGTCGGGTTTAATTTTCTTGTGCCATGTGTAAAGGTTTTCATTCAACCACTGGCACTGCGTTCTCGCATGTCTCTTTGGGCTGTGCTGCGTATGACACTTGTATCCGCAGCAGCTGGATCGCCGGGCAAAGCAACTTGTATTTGTTTGTATATGTATATGTAATCTGTATTATGTACGTTTTTTCAATGTATGTATGTACATGGGATGTATCACATCTGCTCTCGAGGCTGGCTTTAAGGTAACGTTGTTCGGTGGTCCACTTCGAAAGATCCAGGTCAATGGCCTTCAATTCCTATGGAGGCAATAACTACGAGGAGATCTCCGTCGCAGACGAACCATTGCTGAAATGGCCGCTTGCACTATAGAGGGGCATCGCTTGCTTGTGAAATTCCCTGTGATTCCAGAAGCCAGTCTGTTTCCGAAAATAATGCTCGGTGATTCGCAGCCTCTGCTTCGCCTTCAGATGAAGTCCCATCTCCTGTACCTGAGCTTTTGTCATTCCCGTTCACGTTCCGAGCGAGCAATGCACGACCAGCTCTGCGTTGCCGACCGAGGTTTGTGATGGCCTTCGCTGCGTGTTGGCATGTGTACCTCATGACGCTCAGCTATAGTCAGTCAGCAGGGATTTGCGTAGGTCTGCTGCGGACGCCCGCTTGTCCCCCAAGGAATCTCATGGTTGCACAGTTGTGCCAGCGCTACAACGACATCTTCCACGACGCGAGGGGCAATGCACGACTGCAGCGCTGTTGCAAGCAGCCGCAAGTCGAGATAAGCCAGCATGTCGTCACTCCTGCCCAGCTATGCTCGTCTGATCGGCACATGGGCTCTGTAGCTAATTTTCTACCACAGTCGCTACAACAGAATGTGTTGACTCCGTTGCAAAACCTTTATCTATTGCTTGGCGACTTGCTTTCCTATCATTCTCCGACAGGTCATTCAGCTCTCTGGCTGATCAATGCCCATCCGAGAAAGCACAGAGCTATCAGCTTCCAGCCCCTGTTTGCTGCACGAGGACGCGTGGCATCAACATCTACGAGACCTCCATGCCGTTGATCTCCAAGAATCGGTGGGCTCGTTTCGTCGAGTCGCTGCGGCTGGGGGTGCCTCGAGCGGGTTTGGGATTGTTGGCCTTCGAAGGTTGACGGTGCGACACCGCTCGTTTTAGCCGGCCAAGGGCTGGTCTGTGGTGTTATGTTGGCACCTAGCAATCCACGTCTTTGGGAGTGTAGGAAGACTTCGCTTAACAGGTCCCCAAAACAATCGGAACTCTCCAACCTTTGGGCTCGGGTGATTTGGTGGTCTTCAGGACATAGTTCCTAAGTTCCCAGTATTATTCACAATTTGGGTTCCATATTATACCCATGCTACGAAAGAAACCAAAATCGAAAACTCCATTCATATTCTGATTAATAAAGCCCCTAGGATACGCTTGCGAAGGAAGCCTGCGAGCTGGACGAAGGCGATAACGGCCCTCGAGGCGCGGTGCCGACCGTCGAGAACCCGCACCTCGACTTAGGGTTTAGTAGGGTTTGGGGTTGATGGTTTAGGGTTTGTATCGCGCGCGCATGTGCATTTGAGTGTGTGTGTGTGTGTCTTTTCGTACGTCAGATGATACGTGCATTTCAATGCGGGCATTCCACTCCCTAGGTGATCTGTAACGTTTCATTCGATCTTCTCAGCTGTGTTAACCCCCTTTCACCGCCGGTCCCCGAGTTTCAGTTTGACAACTTCCGAATCCACGGCCGAAGCCGGGGCGAGTTGTACTTTCGTCCCAGACGCAGCTGGCACTGTGCTATTGCGAGGACATACCCTGAAGCATTACTTTTCTCTGGTCTGTGGATGTCTGTGGCATCTCATGCATTCGGCCGGAAGATCTCAGGTATGACTACTTGCAGTATCCGGCAGTGGAGCTGGATCGGGTGCAGCGCTATGGAGGTGCAGCCTGCGGTTCGAGTAAGCTTGCGGGTACATGCCACGAGTCGCCGAGGCTCGGCGATCTCTGGTTGTTGGGCTGAGAAATGCCTTAGAAGCGGATGTCAGTTAAACCCGAAGCCCTTAAATCGTAAACCCTACAGGACAGAGATGTGAAGTTTTGTGTAGGTGCTCGTGTGCAAGCCTGCTGCTGGCTATGCCGCTCTAGGTCCTGGGTCTGGACAGCCTAGATGTAAGCTTATGCTGTGGCCTGTTGTTGCTTCGTCGACCTGGAGCAGGCTGGCTCGATGTACTTGACATGCCACTTTGTCTGAACCACACTGCTCTGGGTAGCTTCAGGGTTCATTCAATACCTACGGGTTCATTTCCACTTATTATTAGTCTGATGGAGAGCAGTCCAGTTGGTTCTGAGTCTGTAGCTGCGTGCTGTGCTTGAGGACCTCGGGACCGTATGGATGTAATTTACAACCTTACTCTTACTGTCAGCACTCTGTCGTCCTCTGCAGGTCCTCATACCAGGCTCTACCTACTAGGTATTCCGACTGTAGCAGGGAGGAAAAGGGCCCTCAAAAAAAGAAATCCTAGACGAAGGCCTTGAATCTTAAACCCTAAACCCCTAGACCCTGAACCCTAGCGCGCAAGACCAAAAGCAAAGACCCAAAGCCGAAAGCCGAGTGTCTCGGTGTCTCGGCTCGCCAGGCCTGGCGAATCCGGAGCTTCCCTGGCCAAGCCTTGACGAGGCCAGACGAGGGCTGTTGGGTCTTTCATGGTCCCTTATGCGGTTCAGGGTTTAGTGGTTAGGGTTAAGGGTTATGGGGTTTAGGGGTTTGGGTTTAGGGTTTAGGGTTATGGGGTTTAAGGTTTAGGGGGTAGGTTTCTAAGCAGAACTGAGCTTCAGAGCCTGGGCGGACTCGCTCGGTGACACTAAGAGCCCGGCTGCAAAACGAAGGGTTAGAAACTTCATTACAAGTAAACTAGAGCCCTATTCTGAGTATCTAGGCCCTGATCTTCGACCTGAGTCTTGGATGAGGTTTGGGGATTTAGGGTTTAGGGCTTAGGGCTTAGGCATCGGGGGCCGGAAGAACTACTACTACTACTACTACTACGACGACAACTACTACTCCTTCCAGGTTCCTTGGTATAAGTATACTAGGATCTTATTGTGATTCTTGAGGCACCTAGATTACACCGTCCCTATATTACACCAAGTCGCCTTATCGAAGGCAGCCGGATTCCAATGAACTGGCAGGAAGTAGCAGCGAACTTGCATGTGTTGTTTTTGGAAAGTTCGAACCACAGCATGGGAGCCTCCATCGTATACAAGACGCCTTTGATTTCCAAGACCTACGAAGCAGACAAACCTCGAAATGTGCAATGGGCCAAGCAGCCAGGCTGTGGATGACAGTGCAGTCGGTCGGTTGACAAGGCTGCCGGCTTTCCCAGCTTACGAGAATCTTGCCATGATCGTTCACACTCGATTTAGGTGCGGGTTGAGGTGGCATTCACCACTAGCCGCAAAACCCGTTTAGTTGGCTGGGACCTTTGTCAACTGCCGGTAAGTCTGAAGGCCCAGGACTTTGGGCTGCTTTAGATCCTACCATCTACTATTGTAGTATATGGTCCATGTTGTATGGTGGATGATCGCGAGTCCATGCAAGTCCACAGCAGAATTCCAGGCTGACGTGGCACTTGCATGTCCACATCGCGCGGGGTTGCCGAAATCCCCGTCAAGCTGAGATGTTTATGCTCTCAGGCAGTCATCAACAGCAGAGACGTGTTCAAGTCTCTGTAGC